GGGTTTGTTGGGCGGGGGAGAGGAGGACGTTACAGAACCTCGCTATACAGACCTATGCAGGTCCGTTGTCTAAATGACAAAAAAAAAAAAATGATAATGTGACTTTAGAACTATTTGTTTCCAAAGGTTTCAAAAAAAAAAAATCATAAATTCTAAAAAAGTGCATACTTCCGAGATGAAGAGTGTCTTATGTTAAATTGATCACTCTGTATACATTTCATTTTTTTCTTTTATAGCAAGATTATTTATAACGACTCGAATACAATTAACACCGGAACGGTATTGTAAAGAAATACACAATTGTAGAATAGCTTATTTACGTGCAATGGTATGAGTAAGTGGTATAACTGCAGTATAAGTGGATATAAATTGTTATTTCTAACAGTAGATATTATTATTTATATTCGAGATTACTAATTCAGTTTTTATAATACGTAAAATTGTATTTAAAACAAATTACTTTGTGTTAATTGTTTTTTAATATTAGAAAATGGTATTCCATTAATTAGAGCGTCTAAGAGAGGGCGAGACTTTTACAACCTTCTACTATTTTTAATTTGTTAAATATTTTTTAAGGACTAGGTACTTTGCCATTTTTTAACACTTTGTGGATTTTAGGTGCATTTGAGTCCGGGCACTAGTTATAATCAGTAAAATATAATATTGTTTCTTAGTTGTAGTAAAACCATTACTACGCTCAAAGTACAAAATATGCATTTTTAATGGTTTTATAATATGAAGGGTGTAGGCTGCAAGATTTCAACATTTCCTATGTTATTGTACGTTCTGCAGTAAATTGATAATATTCCTAATAATATTCCCATAACGCTAATAATTATTAAAATATTTACTAATATTAATACTAATAATATTTATTGTGTTATATAACCGAATTGTCACCTAATATTATTATTATTTGTAGATACGTATATGCTCGTAACAATTTGAAGTGTAAACATTTTTATAAAACAAAACGTAGTTACCTCTTACAAGTATTATTATTATGTTTATTTGCGAGAAAAATTAATATTTCCATGTGCGCAGGTACCACGCTTCCCTCATTAAGTTTCCCATCGTCGGCTGTCGACAAATAATATTACGCTGTAGTAAGTACTCTTGCTCAAATTTGAATGACGACAAGAAGAATGGGTAAACAAAGTCGCACAATGACTTCCACTCGACCTACTCAGAAAGTGATTTTTCGAACGTGTTCGAGTAGAAAGGTAAATTTGTATCAAACCCGAGGATGTGTTTTTGAACATAAATCTACAATATTTTGACTACGGTTTCAAAAAACAAAAAAAAAGTCAAATACCTACTCACATACTATAATAGAATATTCGAATAAAATTGAAACGACGGCGTTTTTACCGCCGAAAAATATCATAATATAGGTACGATTACTTTACCCAAATACTTAAAAAATAATAATAATTGTTCAACTGTTAGTACGAGAAAAAGTTAGCCCACTCGGAAAGTCCTCGGTTTCAAAACGTATTTCAAACAATGAACTATATACAATTATTTAACGAATTCGGTTATATTATAATAATTGTGTCTACCTATACCTATAGAAGTGTGCAATTTATGTATCTGATTGATTTTGTACGTACATTATGATTTTTATCGTAAAATGTTAACTCTATGGACTTTTATTCAATCTAAATTTGTTAACAAATAATCAGTATACACTTTTCTTTTTTTTATAGAAGAGGGACCGAATTATTTTATAGTGGGTTATTTCGTAGGCGTTGTTACATTGTTTCGATAATTAACGAAACGAGAGGTCATTATGGACCGAGATGTATCGGACGCTTGATGGTAAGATGATTAAAAGCCCGTACGAGTGATTTATACGAATATTAATGGAAAAGAGTGAATAGGAGATGGATGGTTAGACATGTTTGGTAATAATATTGAATACCTATCTATATAGTCAACGAATTGGTTGAACAAGAAATGGCCGATCCAAAATATGTGGGAGGAGTGAGGAAGAACATAATATTATGTGTGATAACCATGTCGATTATAATAACTAATAACGTTAAACGGGTCAAAACACCGCCCAAACTCGACTTCACAATATTCACGGTGTGCAAAAACATAATATTGCACTCGTGTAATACTCGTACATAGGTTGGTACATGTTAATAATCGTTAAATCGAATCCGCTAGTGAAATACAAACTATAAAGCGATTTTACAATTTTATTGAAATTGAAAATTAACAACGTACTTCGGTCATTATGTCTAGCAAGTATTGAAAAATCGACATCTGTTTTCTCAAACAATTGTCGGATTACGAGTTTCGGAGTTTTCGTTGAAAAAATGTTTTCTGGTTGTTTTCGACCGTATATACGCGGGTGTAGAATCCCCTTAATATTGATTTACACGGTTGCCACACTAACCGTGCGACGAAACTTGTCTACACGTTACTCCTTCCATTAGGTAGGTAAATGACCGGCCTCGACCGCCATTATAACAATAATGTTTATCAGAACTCTTATCGCACACGTCGGAAGTTGAACAGCTAAATTACCTACTATAATATTAATTATTAAAATATAATTTTTGCACGTGCGATACGACCGTGGGGGCAGATCGCCTGCTTTCAACGAATAATAATAATTCTCCTGAGTATTCGTGGTAGGTATAATAGCGTGCGCTGGACGAGCAATGCGGAACGAAAATCGAAAATGCGCGTGCGGTAGACCGGCATATTTTTTACCGGCCGGATTTAAAGTTGGATCGGATACTTCATGACTCAAGAGCTTCGAACCGATATTAAACAACGCACAAAACGTGTCAGGATTTAAGATAATTTCATCAGTCCGTATCATTATCCGTACCGTTATCATGATCGGGTGTGTTATCTATACCACAAGACAGACGACAAGACCACCACCACCACGTCGATAACAATGATAGAAGATAGCATTACTTGGTTTTATTTGTTCATACCGTGTGCTTCGTAAGTGTGCCAATGAGCAGTTTAATTCAATTAACATAATTTACACCCTACACGTTGGTAAAATCATTGTTATAAAATGACTACTACTACTACTACTGCCTCGTTGGAGAACCTCACGCTGTCGTCCAAAGAATCCGACATTGAAGACGACCAAGTCGATCCCTGGAATGTTTGCAGCAAGTCAAAAACCGGAATCGACTATGACAAACTAATAAGTAACACAGTATTACTAATATTAATATTAATTTTGTATTTTTTACTTTGTACCTAGGTAGTTTATATTACTTATGTGATTTTTTTTTTTTCTGTGTGCTCGTACAATATTGGTTAGGTTAGTACCTATCGTGTAGCTTTTATTTTTAAACAGGTTTACTATTGTTGGTGAAACTTCAAAATAAAATGTCAAGTAAACTTATCCTTATATTTTTAATATTTAATAGTGATCTGATCTTTGTGTCGCTTAGTGTATTATCTAGTTATTATCTTGTTTTAACGCTCGATTGACATAGCTTGTCTCATGGTCATAATTATTTTAGTTTAATATTATGTTGTATAATAATATTATTGGCCACAAGTATCAAACTCTGTCTGATGTGTATTGATTTATTATCACGTCATTCAATGTTTGATACATGTGGACCTAATATTCACTTACAATTACAATAAGAATAATAAATTCACTTACAATGTTTAATTTCTAAATAATGTATTTTTTTTTCCTTATTTGTAATGTACAATGTATACCTAAGGAGTATAATTAGCATATATATAGGTTAGGGATACGAAACTTACAAATTAATTATTAATCGCTTAAAGAAATAATGTGTTTGATATAATGTAATAAAATATATTTTTTTTTCTAGGTAGATTTGGATGTTCAAAAATAAATCAAGAACTATTATCGCGTATTGAAGCTATCGCTAAAAGACCTGTACACCATTTTCTCACTAGAGGAATATTTTTTTCGCACCGAGACTTGCACAGTATTTTAAATTTGTATGAACAAGGGAAACCGTTTTATTTGTATACAGGCAGGGGTCCTTCATCAAATTCTTTACATATTGGACATTTAATACCATTTATATTTACCAAGTAAAGACTTTTTTTTTGTATTCTGAACATTAAGGAAACTTTAAATTAATATTTTATTTTTCAGATGGCTGCAAGAGGTTTTTAATGTCCCCCTTGTAATTCAGTTGACAGATGATGAAAAATACCTATGGAAAGATTTGAAGTTGGAGGATGCGCAAAGATTAGCTGTGGAAAATGCCAAAGACATTATAGCTTGTGGATTTGATAAAAAGAATACATTTATATTCTCAGATTTGCAATTTATAGGGTATTATACATATTTTGATTAGTTTAATTTCAATGATCATAAATGATTATAATCTATAATAATAAAACAGGAACATTAATAATAAAATAAAATGGTAAATAATTTAGAGAATGTCCAGCGTTTTATGCTAATATAGTAAGAATCCAAAAAAGTGTTACATTTAATCAAGTTAAAGGTATATTCGGATTTGGCGATTCTGATAATATCGGGAAAATTGCTTTTCCTGCGGTACAAGCTGCCCCTTGTTTAGCATCGTCCTTTCCATTTATATTTGGTAATAATAAAGTTCCTTGCTTAGTACCTTGTGCTATAGATCAGGTAAAATTTTTAATTTTATTATTGAATAAATTACTCTTATTAATACAATTATTCTCTTTATAGGATCCTTATTTTCGCATGACAAGAGATGTTGCACCAAAACTTGGCAGCCATAAGCCTTCTTTAATACATTCATCATTTTTACCAGCTCTGCAAGGCGCTGACACTAAAATGTCAGCGAGTGATTTGAATTCAGCTATCTATTTAACAGATACACCAAAACAAATAAAAAACAAAGCAAGTTAAATTATTAGGTGTTTCTAACAAAGTTAATTAATTAATTTTGATTTTGCTTAATAATAGATAAACAAATATGCGTTTTCTGGAGGTCAGGTTACAGTTGATGAACATAGATTGAAAGGAGGTGATTGCAGTGTGGATATATCGTATCAGTATTTAAAACATTTTCTTGAAAGCGATGAAGAATTAATCCAAATTGAAAATGTAAGTATTTTTAATCTATCCATTATAAAAATACTTAATCATAAGTCATAATATTGGTGAATGTCTTATTTTAAATTAATAAACTACCAAGTTCAATTAAAATTATATTTAAGATACCATAGTTAAGTATACATTGCTGGTAACAAAGTTGTTAATTCTAGTGTCCTAAATTAATAAATTATTTTAATTCCATTGGTAACTATAATTATAATTGTTATTATCATTTTTTTTTTTATGGTTAATTTGTTTATATACAGTTAATTTGCAATACATTTTATTTTTGTTTTATCTATTATGTGAATAAAATTGTTAGTATGAATTAATATTTGCGCACAAATAATGTGAAATTGGTCATCACATTAAATATTCTCATGTAAGTGCATTATTACAGGTTAGCTTAACTTAAGGTGTTCTCACCTAACATGTTGACTGGCCATAAAGCCATTATTGGGGTTTAGATGGCCACCACCATCTAAACCCCCACCAAAGTGACAGATAATATACAAGATAACTGGGACTGACAAAAATAGTTTAGTCAGTACAGGACCATAGAGGTATCCAGGAAATACCACTGACTTATGAGAGTGAGAAGCACCATCACCTCGATCCCAATCCATTCAGTCATTTCTTAATTGTTATTATAATTAGTAATACAAAAGGCGTAATTTGGTGACTTACCAAATGTAACTTGGTTACTGTATTTTATAAACAAGTCGTTTGAAGATTTTGATTATTATTTTGGCCATAGGTTACTGGAAATATCAGAACCAAATAAAATTAATAGTTATTGATAAATTAAAGATTAGCCAGTACTTTTTTTTATTATCAATGTTATTTGTAATAACTATAAACATGTATAGTCATTAACCAAAATCATATAACCATTACTGATAATAAATATCCAGGTTAACCGCCAAAACACACCTAAACTAAGTCTTTACCTGGGTCTGGTGGCATAACATCTATGTAAATTATTCATCAGTCGAACTTATAAAATTTGAATATTTATACACATTTCTATCCAAAAGGCACACAACATCATTGATAATTATGGTTACAAACCCAAATATTTTATTTTTTGTGGTTAATTTGTTTATATACAGTAGAATTCGCTTAATGAGGACACATCGACACACCTATTTTTCCTCATTATCCGACTGTCCCGATTAGCCGAATTGACGAAAAAAACAACTTTAAAAAATATATACATACTTGATTCATACTTTATTTAAAAATTACATATTATTATTCAATTTCAATTATAATTCATATTTTGTTAGGCTGCAGAAATTTATCAAGACTTTGCTTATTGATAAAATCTGCACAAACATCTAGTGAAGTTGTTGGGACATTTTCGTTTCCATTTTGCATGAAATATAGTCTCAGCTGATCAATGCACTTTTCTGCTTCTCTTGTTGTAATTTTGACGGGTTGAATGTCGTCATTTTCATCACTTTCTTCATTTTGCAGACTTCTCTCAGCAATTTCATCAAGAAATTTATCGTAAATCTTGTTTTCATTGAAGCACTGCACACCATCATCAATTTTTAAAAATAACTCCCCATTTCCTACGCATTGCGCTACATTATTTTCAATAGAAACAAAAGGAGGAATAGGTAAATCAATGAGTGTTCTGAAACCGCAATGTGCAAAACAATGCTGAATCGTAACAGACGACACTTTTCTCTAGCTGTCAGCGACAAATTGTATAGCTTGTAAAATATTTATTTTAGAACTGATATCTGTAGCACATGTAGATGGAGTTAATAAATTATCTTCAATAGCCTTCAAAATGTATGTCACCAGCAGTCCACGGTAATGAGTTTTTAAATTCTTAATGATCCCCATATCGAGTGGTTGAATGAGAGAAGTAGTATTTGGAGGCATAAACTCAAGTGTGATATTTTTTAAATCTATCAAGTGGGGATGTGGTCCAGAATTATCAACAATTAATACAATTTTCCTTGATTGTTTTCCAAGCTNTTATTTAAAAAATATATACATACTTGATTCATACTTTATTTAAAAATTACATATTATTATTATTATTATTAGCAGTTGTACATTATATTTACTGTGCCTGCCATATTACAACAACACAAAACTGTTATACGATCCATAGCTTTTTTTGATCCTTCGAGTGTTTCACGTTTATAGCACAAAGAACCATCCGGAGTCGCTCGGTAGAATAAACCAGTTTCGTCGGCATTATAAATGTCCTGAGGGGAAAATTTTTTAAGAATTTCCGGTAATTTAGTTAAAGACCATTCATCAGCTCCGTTTGAATCAGCACTTGATTTTTTTCCGTGAAATCGCTTGAATTTAATATTATTTCGATCCTTCCAACGACTCATCCAACCTTCTGTGGCCTTAAAATTACCATGTCCAATTTTTTCATCAAAAAATTCAGCTTTCTGCTGCAACATGGGGCCCGAAATACGAACACCACGTTTTGTAACAGCAGAAAACCATTCGTTCATAACTTTGTCTACTTCGGGATCTTTGCCTTCCCCGCTTTCTTTTTCTGTTTACAGGTGCACTATTGCCATCGTTTAATTTTTCCCATTGTTCACTAATAGCTTTTTCATTATTTTTCAATCGGCTTAGTACCGATTTAGACGTGCCTATTAATTTCTCTAACTCACGTAGACTATGAGGTTGAGTCTTAATTTTGTCCAAAATGGAAATTTTTTCAACCAACGTCAAATCTTTACTAGACATAATTGTTACGCATTAACACAAACTGGGATCAATAAAAACTTTAATGAACACACATATGTTAATACACAGAGACAAAAGTACGTGAACTAAAGGTTTTTGAATTTGTACGTAGGCTAGTTGACTCTTATTGTGGTAGTAAAAGAAACGTACATTACATTTGTACATATTAAATATATAAAATATAATAGAGCCATAAAGATTAGATAATTACAGTTTCAATAAGAAAGTAAATAATTTAGGTCAGAATACCTAGTTAGACACTTTTATTTTTGTCCCTTGTAACCGATGGTTTGTCCCCAATAAAGGAAGTTAAATTGCCTTAAATACATTCGTTCGGGACTATGCCAATGTCCGGGAAAATGCGGTGTCCCGAATAAGCGGATTCTACTGTATAGTTAATTTTCGACCAGGGGGAGAGGAGGTTATTTTTATTTGTTTGACAAATACTAATAATAATAATTTATGATCAATAAAAAAATTAGTTATCATAGTGTTATAATTTATCAATAAGACACTGTTGACCATGCTCAGTTATATGGAGTGCATAAAAGTACATTACAAGTTTTTGAATATAGAATTTTAAAGAAAACATTGTTTTCGTGTATTTTGCATAGTAGAGCATATTATTCAATTGCATATTGAATTATTTTTGAAGAAATTAAATTTATTGACTACAAAAAAAAGTTTGTTTACAGTGCAAAATAATCTTTTAAAAATCTCACTTAATATTTTATCAATTAAATATCTATAATAAAATAATTCAATCCCATTCCAAACATAATCGATTCAAATTAATTTTGAATAAATACAAATAAAGTTTTTTTTCTTTCAGTAGTAAAACATAATATTATATTGTATAGAATAATAATAAATAATAATTGTATATTTAAAATAATTAGAAAATATAATATTCATAATTAAATGAGTTTTCTTTGTATTTTCAGGATTACAGTTCTGGAAAAATGTTAACTGGAGAGTTGAAAAAAATGTTAATTGAATGTATTACAAAAATAGTACTTGAACACCAAGCAAATCGAATTAAAATTACAGATGCTGATGTCAAAGAATTTATGACTCCCAGAAAATTTGTATAATTAATTTATACTCATATAAGTACTTACTACTTTATATTTATATTATTATTAAGCTTTTAAAAATAATATAATGATGAGTAAAATTATTTAAATTATTTTTCAAAATTAATTTGTATTTGCATAGTATTTGATCAAGATTTTTCATTATATAAACCTATTATTTAATGAAAATATTACTTTTCTTTTAAATCATTTGATAAAACAGTGGAACCTTGATAAGTCAATTATCAGCTTGTGTGCCCATAGTGTGCCCACCTAATCATGTTTATTATGTTTATATCTTATTTTTCTTTAGATTTATAATTTTTTTAGTAATACAATTTTTAAAATAATAATAACAATATGTACATCTTAGATCATATATAATGGATAGAGTCGCAGCCAATAGATTACATATAATATTGATGATGTACATGTTAGTGATATATCTAGGTCAGGGGTCGGCAACCTGCGGCTCGCGAGCCACATGCGGCTCTTTCGGTCTACAGTTGCGGCTCTCCAGCTGCACACACAAAAATTAATATTTTAGTTCAAAAACAATATTTTATAATATAAAAAAAAAGTATATTATTTTTGTTATTTTTGGAAATATGAAATAACACATCACAAAAATAATTTGACAGTGCCCGCATGGAGTACAGTCTATAGTTGTAAAATGTTTATTATAGAGTCTAATATAATCGCGAAAAAATAATCGCTATCTACAACTAATTGGTCAATTGGTCACGCCAAAACATGCAAAGCCAATGCTCCCATTGATGTATTCCCCTATTATTAAAAACTTTTTTTTTTTTTTTATCATAAATTTATTATATTATTATAATTAATTTCATTATTATTATGTCTATTAAAATTTAAAAATAAAATTATATTTAAATACTTAAGAAAATTTGTAGTGGCTCTTTAAAATCTGGAAAATTTTGTACATTGTAACTTTTGGCTCTTCCGTCAAAAAAGGTTGCCGACCCCTGATCTAGGTGAGTAGCCTTTAGTGTGGATGCTAGTTGCATATTTCTTTCAAATTATCCGCATAATACATATTTTTTTCTTATCTATAATGTATTTTATGTACTTTATACAGATTTCAGTTTATTATCACTTATCTTGTCAGTTATTTAATATTTATCACATCATATTAAGGTATTGAGATAAATATGTGACTAGTCACATGCATGCACACTAAAGGCAAGTCACCTGGCAACTATGGCCTCACCGGTAACATCTACATCAAAATATTGAGCTGTTGCTACATCCATTGTATATGATCATACATACACCGTACATATATTTTGAAAACTTAAATAACTCAAAAACCTTAGTAAGTTGAAAACTTCAATAATTAGACAAAATAATTTCATTTCCCTTGAATTTCAACTTATTCAGATTCCACTGTATATGAAATGACATAAAAACAATTAGATATACCTAACTGGAAATATTTACGTTTTAATATAATAACACTATTTGATAAGAATAAAGAGTTTTAGTGTTATCAGTAAGAAATAACTAAAGAAAATCCATGTCTATGAAAACTATATATATTTAGTAACTGTGTTTTAGGTATTCGGTTGCAGAATGTTAAATTAAATAAAAAATTAGTATATTTTAATTTACTTTAAAAATTTACATTTAATTTGTGTAATACAAATTCAAAGTACTAAGGATTTTTAAATTCTTCCTCTGTAAAAATAAATGTCGTACAAGCTCATAAAAAAATATAATTCCATTTAGTTAAAATTCCATCTACAATTATAAACTCAATATTAATTCATATTCCATGAGACTATATTATAAACTTCTATAAAAAAATAATTTGTTATAAATTCTGCATAAGCTCTTCTTTTTGCAAGAAAATACTTCTGGACATAAACTATTGGTTTGATAATTTCCAGTTCTATGTATTTAAGTTATTATATGTTTCAAATAGATTACAAATTATTTTTAAACAATAGTATTTAATGTAAAATATAAAATATTTGAAAAAATAAAAATTATATTATAAGTGTACATTAAATAAATTATATTTTTAAATCTCACTAAAACATTAAATTTCATTTGGTCTTTTAGTGAACCGGATCAAAATTTCTGGTGATCGAAACAAAAATATCAACATTCCATATAAATCTTCTTCCATTTCATATTCTGCAAAGGATCTCACTAAATAGATTTCATAGCAAAGCTGAAAATATCAAATTCTATATTACAGATTGTAAAATATGTAAACATCACTTTTATACTTACTTGTAATAACCTATCTGGATATGGAGTTTCTGTAAAACCCAATTTGAATTTGAAAGACCGGAATATGTCAAATGCTAGTTTATATCCGAAATATACTACTATAATTGTGTACAGGCCAATAATTCTAAATTGAATAATTGAAAGAAATTTATTTATATTCCTATATTTAGCTATAACTATAGTTGTATGCAAATTGCAGGTACTTAGGATAGGTACTATATAACAGCCTTTGTCTCACCCTTTGTGTATATGTGCCCAGTAATATTTACTCAGTTTTGTTGACATTTAACAGTAGATAATGTTATTAATATCTTTTAGTGAAATGAAAAAGACATACTAGTGTATTATACAGTAGAAACTGTTTATAACTCAGGTTTTAGTGACCTTAAATTGAAGCATGTATTAATTTTTATCAATTTTAATGCCATCAATGTCTGTTTTATATTTATTGAAGATTTTATATAATTTTGTGATGTTGTAAACAAATATAATAGATTTTTTTTTGACACTAATGCCTAAGGTCACTAAATATTTACACAGAGATAAATTTGTTTATCTAGAGGTAGAATGAATTCAATTGCATAAATCATGTTTTAAATTGTATTTGTTGATAAAAATGTACATACTAATAATTAAATTACAAGCCCATTAAAAATATTTAAATTTTTTTATCATGTTTTGCATTATTGTGGTGATAAGTTCTTGTTTTTTATACATAGATACATTTGATAAAGAAATCATTTTAGACATATTTAAGGACTTAGATTTGACTAGACCTAGAGTGATTCGTGATGGGTATAATCAATGGGTATTAAACAATTTTGATGATTATGAATTTAAATGTTGGTTTGATAACTAGTATTTTGGTAATAATCTGAATATAAAACAATAATTGAGCAACACTTGAAAATTTAATTAATAACCATTAGTATCATTATATTAATAATTAACATTGTATTTATTAATAGATAAGGACAAGTTTGGTGTAACTTGGTGTAAATGTTATATTTTTAATTTTTTTGAACATTTTAGTTATAATAACCAATTTTTAGTGGTTTCTTGAATGTCATTATAAATAGTTTTTACTGTATAATATAAAAAGCTTATATTATTAATAAAATAAATTATTTTAAGCGTATAAAACTATATATACTGACTAATATATTATGTATACATTTTAGATTCTGAGCAAAGGTGAGGAATGTATTGGTTTTACAATGATGTTTATTTTTTTTATTTGTAAACAATTTTTATACAAAAAAATCTTGTTATAATGTATCAAGTGACTACAGTACCTTTTCTGAAAGGAAATGTTATCTACTATTTAGATTTTCTTAGGGGTTTTCTTAATAATTAACAAAACTGTAGAAAAACCTGAAAAAAGGTATGCAATTTATTATTTTCAATTTTATTTTTTGTTATGATTCAGTTAAAAATATCCTTAGAGACTTCAAATTTAGACAAACGAGTTATATTTACTTTTTCTAGACATAATACAATTTTCAAAGCATTTCAGCCATTTTTGCACTATTTAAAGACATTTTAATTTTGCAAGTTTTTTTTATGTAATATTTGTTCAGTAGGTACTCTGTGCATAAAATTCTTAGTCCAAACAAAAATGTATGAACATTTTACAGGTTCATTAGAAACTATACTTAGTGGTAAAAAAATAAAATTGAGTGTAATATAGAATTTTAATATCAAATTTTGATACCTAATTGAATTTCACTTAAAATCGTTGTGTACATTAAATTCCTCTCTATATCTCACCTTCCCAACTTCTCATCTACAACAGTGTCCTACCCTTTTATGTATGCCATTTTATTTCAATGAGATTTATAATTCAATATTCATTAAGTACTAAATTGATTTTAACTGAAATCTATTAACTTTGTTTGTAACTTATATCATTTATTTAATATATTCCTAACATTATACTATTATTTTCAATTCTATATTAATATTATAGTGTTTACTGTTTTACTATTTGCTATTTTAGTTTAATTAGAAAATAAATATAAACACTTCATTGTAAAAACAATACCTTCTCAGCTACACTTCAAATCTAAAAATTACTTTAATGAATTAGTTAATAAAGAAAATATAAATATTTTTCTTATAGAGGGTCATAAATAGGTAATTTATTATCCTTCCCTACTCTAGTCTAAATTTTAACCTGTAAACTCATAAATACTAAATCTGATATTAGTGTGATGTATATCATAATTTCTAGAAAAATATTCTGTATTCAAATCAGTTTCAAAAGGGGTAGAGGATTCTTATAGGAAAATCAAAAGTATGCACTTATTTAAGGTATATAGAGTAGGGGTAAAAATGTAAAAATGGTTGTAAAATGAAGCATAAATGATTTCATAATGATTAGAAAAAACAGAAATGAAATTCACTTAAAATCCTCTGAGATAATTGCTGGTTCATAATAAAAAATCACCCTGTATAAGATAAATTTGAAAAATTGGTACTCATATATTACCCTTTATCATCCAAAAAATGGAATTTGTTAGAATATCTATCGCTAAAGACATATATATTGTATAACATATTTGTGTTATTTGTGTCCAACATGGTGTCTTCATCAGCACACGATGAATAAGGTATCTTTTTCAAATAAATGGTATCATTGTTGGAGGGACATATCTCTACCATTTCGGACAAATAATCACATCTATTTGGATTTTCATAAAATGTTATACCAACATCCATGTATGGCAGAGCTAAAATAGTATAATTTTTATTTTAAGTGAATGTGGTTGATTTATTAATATTTGTATTTATTTTTTTTATTGAAAATTGTTTAGGTTATGATTGTAATATAAACTTACATGGATTATGGATCATTAATCCTGATGCTATTTCTGTTTCAGTAGATTTCCAGTGTAAAATCAAAAATTTTGGTACTAGATTTGGTATAATAAGTTTTTGGTCATACTTGATCAGCATATTAATAGTTGTCTTATTAAGTACTACAATGTTAATGCCACGACTAATTTTCATACCATTATGATGTGTCAATATCCATTCTGCTGATGCTTTAATACTGGAATCTGCAGTTAACAATAAAATATGTACAAATTGTTGTCCAATGAATACTATTATATAAAACTAATGTTCTCATATATTAATATTATTACAACATTACATTATGAGCTATAGTGTAATAAAATTATACTATATATAATATATTTCTACTAAAATAGTGTTATACCATGTTCAACAGATTTTTCTAGATTTGTTTATATTAAATTTTCTTTAATATTTTTTTGGTTTTCTTTGAGGAGGACCTCTTCTAAGGAAAATATTAAATTTTTATTTCATCCCCTAATTTCTAAAAAAGTATTAAGTAACTTGTTTACTTATTTAATGAATCATACATTTATATCTAATAAATAAGGTTTTAGTAAGTCATTTTAATTTCTAGAGGGAAGTATAAACAACGATACTACCACCTAACACAATAGCTAAAAAATCAATAACTTGATTTATTGTGTTGAAAATTAAAAACGGCTGTTACTAAAAAACTATTTATCGTTAAACTATTTATATGATATAATATTTCGAATTATATCTTTGAAAAGCAGATAAAACTGAATATTAAAAGCTTTAGAAAAATCCTTATAACATGGTGGGACACTGTATATTCGATATTAAATTAACAAAATAGCTGGCCATGATACCGAGGTATTGAACAATAGTAGATTAGAAAGATAAATTCATACTTCTTGTTGAAACCATCTTATTCAATTTAGTGAATTCGTAAAATGTAATTGGCCAGGTATTTATGGATTGGGGTATCAGGTTTATTGAGCTTATTTCGTCAAATTCGTATTGTTGTAAAAATTCCATGCTGGACAACCAGTTATTGCTTAATGTGCTCATGTAAACTTCTTTCATTACAGAATAATCTGTACTGTCTAGTCTACAAAACGGGGAGAAAATAAAACACTTTGTTTAAAAATATTGTTAATTGTGTATTTATACCGATTACATATTTTCATTGTTAATTTGAAGTTATCAATCAAGAGTTTTCACTCTTTCAAAAAATAATAACATTATAATAGTATGAAAATAATTTAATTTAATTTAGAAGAGTAGGTACTTATGTATATCGTCAGACTTGGTGCTAAATATAATTGAAGATACAGATTCCTCGAATATTCTAATGGTCAATTCTACAGATGATGGAGTATCCGGCATACTTTTGAACATGGAAAACCACGCAATTGGAAATATTATGATTGATAAAAACGCTGTTAAAATTCCACCTCCTATCAATAGTTTCATTTTTCGTGATCTGTTCATTCCTCGTGCATCGTCGAGTTTATCGCGCACATTGCAAATGCACTAAATATATACGTTTAATATATAAATAAAAATATGTATACCTTGGTTAGATTATTTTTAACTTGAAAAATGAGATAAAAATAAGTACAGGTATATTAGGATATTAGGATTAAGATTAAATTGTTTAAACAAAATATAATTATCAACCAGTGTTTTCGACAAGACTATATCTAACTCGACTATTCGAACAAAAACCTAACTCAGATAATTTAATAAAACGATTAGATGTTCACCTAAAAAAGAAGAGAACTTCCAATGTGTGCAATGTTGTTTTAATGTTTTTACGAATTTTTTCGATGCCTATACTATACCTACTTATACTTATTTGAAACTTATTCGATTTTAAAACCATACAAATTTTAAACAATAATAATTTACTATTTATTTGTATTTATCAAAAATATCCACATATAATAGGCATTACACAGTAGGTAGCACAGAGTACAAGCTCTTATTTTTATGGTGAAAATTCGGTTTTTTAAAACCTTAATATTATTAAGATTAAATATCAATTGTTGGCTGTTTTTGTTCGAGCGAAATGATTTCTACAAATAATTTTTCGGAAAATTCGCGTTTTCTTAAGACGATAATTTCATTAAAATTCCTAAAACTGTCCGTATTGAAAATTTATTAACATATTGATCACCTTCACACAGCAAACGTGCGTAAACAGTTCTTCCATTTTAAACCATTGCATGATCGTCAGAGAAGAATCTGACCACATCCAATCCAGCACGGTGCAAATTTCGTGCAGGAACGGACAATAATAAAATCTAAATTTTGAATTACATCAACGTCGATAATTTTGTATTCATTTACAGCAATATTAAATAAGAATATAACTCACGCTTTATGTACCACTAAATTGTAAATTTCATATCGTGACCAAATAAACGAAGTACTGTACCGGTAAGAATATCCGTTTCTCAGTTGATACGCCGAAACTACAATGTACGCGTAGATATTGAACGACAACACATTGTTGATAATAGCTTTATTTTTACTATTTTCACAAAAAAAATCCAACGAAATTTTATATTAGGTAAGTATAGTCAGGTGCGAACTGGTTGGAGTGTTGGGATGTTACATTGATTTTCCCGAATTAAAAATAACTTCAAATTCTTATGAATTTTTTATAATAAAGTTATAATTCTCTAATAGCATAATAGATGTCTTAATAAGTAAATGGATAATAAATAATTTGTTTACAACAGTTTAATATAATATATTGATATTATCTACCTATCACCATAGTTGATGTTTTGCATTATGTATATATTAAAATATATTACCTACGCGCTGTTATTTTCAAAATATACCTACCGGCACTTTTTGAAATTTTTCAGTTTTTCTTTTTATGTGGATGACAATACATTTCGCGATTTAATTTAATCAACATTTCATGTTAAAATTTATTAAAAATACAATTGTATTTTTTTTGTGTCGCAAAATAATATACAAATTTAAATTTAAATTTATCGAAACATATTGGACAGCTCTTGCTTTAACGCACAGATATGAATTGAATTATCCTATAATATGTAATCTTATATTACCAACTTATAACAGTAGCTTACCATTGGTTCGAAGTATGTCAACTTTTTAAAATATTTGTTTTATTATTATAATTTGCCCTAATATTATGTAGCATCCCATGCCCTTTTTTACCAGTCCACGCCTGGGTATAGTAAGAGCCAAGAGGTATACAATAATGTCTACAGAAATACTCATAGGTATACTTACTCGGTCATTAGTCTGATAAATCCGATTAGAAATATCAAGTGAAAAATTAATTTTCCCAGTATAAAACGCCTGGCTGAGAGCCAACGGTCTATTACTATTGTGATTATACAAGTTAAAAATGTTTGTACAAACGCCAAGGAAATTCGATTCGATTCGACTAATTCTTCGGCATTCTGTAATCCAAAGTTTTAATAATAATTATTATTATCGATCCGATTTTTGGTGAACACATTATTTTTTTTTTATTTCAGTAATTATTTTCAATGTTTTTGAAGTTAGTATCTACTTACCTGCCTATTATAAACTTCTTATTAGGTACCTACCTATTCCTATTAAGCTATTATATTTATGTCTTGTCTCTCCAACAATAAATAAATATTATTATTACCTATTACAACAAAATAATGAAATATCACAATCAGCTGCAAGCTCAACATATGTTTGAAAGTTATGCAATGCTTGATGAGGAGAGTTCATAAAAGTGGATGAAATATATAAAAACAAATATAACATCAGAATACCTACAATAATAATGGTTGTATACAAATAAAAACCAAATTAAAGACAAGAAAAAATGTGTAGAATACAGTAATATATAAAAAAAAAGATAAAAACCTATAAACAGAGAGGAGAAAATATCAACTGTTTATTGAAATCAAAATTTAAAATCCCAAAATAAATCCTATGTTAGTAGGTAATGTGTATGCCAAAATGTATTTTGCCCATGGGCAGTAGTTTAGCTTAATGCGACACTGGAAAGATTTATCATTTAAAGAAAACAAGAGATTTACTTGTTTGTTTTGATAAGTTAAAAAAATGTTTGCAAATAGAAGTCACATTAAAGGTCGTTTTTTGATTTTCCTAAGAGTTTTCCTAGTAAATGGGAAAAACGGTACAACATTAAACAAATATTATTAAAGAAAATATATAAAGCCTATTTAATTATTTTACTATAAAAAATATATATAATGTTGACAAAGCATCACTATCAACTGAACTGCGTTCAGAATCGTTTTTTCATAGGCAATAGTTTATTATTACTTACAGGTATACATCAAATTAACTATAACAGTGGCTGCACCCGTCTACATTATTCTAGGACGTCTTTTTTATTTTATTTTAAGTATATGGTATGTATAAATATAATATCATTTAAAAAAAAAAAAATGTTTTAAGGAATCAAATGGTTAATATAATCAAAATGATCTTAACCAATGATGTGATCATAATAAACAAAATTCACTGTAATTGTTGAAATTATCAAAATTAACTAAATAAGTATTATATTTACATACACTAATAGAAAAATAGGTACCTACCTGTAATTTTCGGGCTTTAAATTCCAAAATTAGTATGATTAAATTTTATTAATTATTTTATTAAATTACAATTATTCTTTATTCTTATACTATAACTATGTGAAGGGTGAAATTTTCTTATCTATATTAACTTTAAACGTGTAAAATAAACTCTGTCTTCATAAATTTAAATTAAAATTCAAACTTTAACCTCAGAATTAATTTAATTAGTTAAATACCATTGAGGTTTTTGTAGAATAATTTGAATAAAGTACCTAACAAATTGATAGTTGTAGATAAAATATTTATAAGGTTAGAGTAATAATTACAGCCTCACACCGAGATACTATATGCAAAAATCGATTGTGTTAAGTTAAGTAAATAACTTATTTTATTGAGTTTGTATTATCATATATATTTAACCAATCGGAACTTGTAAAAAATAATAAAAATTAAAACTGAGTTTACCGAAAATTTGTTAATTTTTAAATTTATTTGATTGGATGAGGACACGATGTATCCAATCAGCAGTTAGATAAATTTTAATTTTAAATTACGTATCCGTAATACGTATACTAAAGTCGAGTTTTTCCCCATATATTTTGTATTATAGAAATATTCTTTATATACTAATAATATACTAATAGCGTACTATAATAAATATAATCTAACACTTTTTATTTAACTATTTAATACATTTTATAACTTAACTATACAACTTTCAAAAAAATGTGACATTTTAACATAAAAATGGCAGGGGTTTAAAGTTGAAAATCCCAAAAGACACTTATACCTCGATATTATTTCAATTCTTATGCCAAATAGTATCTCCCAATCTTCATTTAAGGAGGTCTATAGTGGTGTTTAGAGATAAAAAAACACGCCCCTCCTAAAACATCATGAAACGTCTCATATTGAGATTTAATCAAAATTTTATCACTTTAATAAAACGTAATTAATCATGAAGGAGTCACTAGAAGTGTCCAAAAGTAGTGGGAAAATGTTATATATAATTATTACAAACTTATATATACATATATATTTCAAAATATAATACAATGTAATAGTCTCTATTTTCGGGGGAAATTTGACGAAAAATAGTTACGTTTACTTACACGTAAATGAATTAAACTGTATGGTATTTGAATAGCTATCAATATGAACATAATGGGGTACATGTTCACAGTTCCTTTGGCGTGATATCGTCGGAGGTCTTTATAAAATTGAATCATGGGTGTTAGATGAGTTTGAATACTATAAAGTTGATTAATAATATTATGTAAAATAAATATATATAACATAATATGTATAATAGGTATATAATATATGAGATTACATTTTATTTTCATTAATGTTTTTTTTTTTTTCATTATTGATTACTTACTTGAGAATTATTAATCTCAACGATGTAATACGTTTCACAATGTTTAGCGATATTTTTTTCCATTTATTCTTATGATCGTTATGATATGTCCAATGACCCGATCGCATTAAAGTCCGCCTGTGAATTTCAATTCGTAAATATTATCGCATAGTAAAAATAACATAAAAATATAATAGTTACCTAACCTGTGTATAAATAAAATAATCAAAACCAACAGGTCTGGTAGTATTTTTTTTTTATAGTTCCCGATTCCTATTTGTATTGTAGGATACGAATGAAAATCTGTTGAACTTAAATGGTTTAATTTCATTTCTTCGTCTATCCACGGAATTTCTTCAAACGAACATATGTACTTCACCAAACCAGTGACCTGGTAGAACAAGCAGGCAGGTACATAATAATTTAATCCGAATTTAAATTATATAGGTATATATTGTCGATCGCGATTTACTTGCATGTACATGAATAACACTATCCAAAATGTTTTCGTCGGTCTTGGTACCGACAACTGCCCCCAAAAGATAATCATTAGCACAGGTATGATTGAAACTAAATCGTACGAGTTATGAATTGCGTTATAAAATATGGCAAAGTAACAGAACAAATGTGTAGACGAATGCATTATGTAGAACAACGCCATAACAAATTGTATTAACCAGTGTCTGTGTTTATACTCGTCTTCATCAAATTCAACACTATACATAGTACATATAATGTAAGTGTATTCATAATAAGTAAATACAAACCAATTAACTATATTTTTGTTTTTGTTTTTTAAGGGACAAATATCCATCTTCAGACTCCAAAATGTCTACCTACTCACCTACTCCTTTTCAATTGGTTAAACTAATAGTTTATATACATAGGTAAATAAACTAGATAATATGTTACAAACTAATAGTTCTAACAAAAATAAGTGTAGTTACATAGACTACCTACTTAGTTACATAAAACAAAATTTAAGTACTAGATATAGTAAGTTTAGGAAAAAAAAGCAATTGAAACAAAAGCAACGGAAAAAAAGCAATACATTTATTTTACATATTATAATATAAAAAGTAATATTATTGGTTAGTATTACATATTATATAGAACTATATAATAGGTACTTACACTGTATTTTAATACCATTGATATTCAATGATAATATTGTATACTTTTTTCCAAAAATTATCGGAATTTTTTTTTTGAATTTAGTACGAAAATTATATTATTGTACCTAATTATGATGCAATGTACTATTATTTCTTATGACTTCTTATATAATATACCTATAATCATATAATGCAGTTTTTGATTTTTAAAAATAAATAATTCCACTATATGCTGTAGCCATAGGTTTAGTTTTATATATTTTGTACTGTTTTATATATGTTGCATTACAATTATAGTAGTCATTTTTGTTACATTCGATTATAGATTGTAGATTTCTATGCTTGCTCCAATAATTATTTTTATGAAAACGTTTAAAATATTATCATTGAATATAACTGTATAATATAGTCAATGGTATTAAAATATGTTGTAGACAACTATTATATAGAACTAAATAATATGTAATACTAACCAATAGTATCACTCTTATATTATGATATGTAAAATAAATATATTGCCTTTTTACCACTTGCATTTTTTTTTCAATTGCTTTTTTTTAATTGCTTTTTTTTCTTAACCCCAGCTATAATGTATACAGTATACCTATTATGTAATTAAAATAAAATATATTTGTGTTTTACAACTAAATGTTAACTTAATTTGTTTAATAAACTAAGTTTAAATTATACTTACCTAATATTTAAAATTTTAAATCTTCATCTATACCTACTTATATACCAGGTGATCCATTTAAGTGGGTACATTCATTATGTCGGAAAGAATTAACTTTTTCCGGAATTTGTTTTCTAGAAAATTAAAAAAACAGGCTACTTCACAACTTTATATTTGTGTTAATTTTTGTCACCCTTATTTTTGGGGGTAAAAACACTATCTACTTTTGATTTTCAAATAGCAAACTATATTAAAAATTCAATAAATAAATGGAGTATTAGTTAAAATAAATTTTAGTATTGAAATTTTTGATTTCTGTCAATTCGTTGACGAGATATTTCACTTTTAATTTTAAGTTGGAGAAGATTAGAGGTGCATTATTAACATACCGCATGCCATACCGCTACACAAATGATACTCCATTACTCTCCTCCAAGTTCCAACCTAAACTTAAAAGTGGAATATCTCGTTAACGGCTTGATAGAAATCAAAAATTTCAACAGTAAAATTTATTTCAACTAATACTTCATTGACTTTTTAAATATAGGTTGCCATTTCAAAAGTAGCTAGTGATTTTACCACCAAAAATAAAGGTGACAAAAAATAACATAAATATGAAATTATAGAGCTACTTGTTTCTTAAGTGTTCTAAAAAACAAATTACAAAAAATTCTTCCGAGATAATGAGTGTACCCACTTAAATGGATCACCTGTTATGTTATTTAGCTGAAAAAGTGAAAAAGGTATATAATGTAATATCAGGGCCTAAATATATCCAATTTCATGGGACACATATTTTAATTCAATTGATAGAATTGATAGATTTCCATAGTCGAATAAAAATTAAATACCTACCTGAGAGAGGAGTAACTCTTTATACACTACTTACCTTACACATTTATAAAAAGCGTGGAATAAAAATGATCAACATAAAATAAATATAAATAAGTCTAAAATATTTAACATATAAAAAAATTTAAAATTTATAATATATATTAGTTAGAGTGTGGTCATTATTTGATTGTTCGTTATCAGTTCTACTGTTATTTCTACAATTAAAATTAATATACACGTTATAAAACTTAGTGCACACATTTGTAATTCAGGAGACACACTGTTTTAAAATTAAGATTGAACTCCCAGATTGATGATCTGTATAAAAGGCAATAATTGTGATCCAGAATGTATGACTAGAATGGGCTGGGTAGGTATGACGAGTTGACAATAAACTATCCTGAAGAGAATCGAGCGAAGATTTTGAGAGAACGAGACTAAGAGGAAGACCACGCCGGGGTTGTGATGGAGCTTACTTAGACCAGAGCCCAGAGAGGTGGATTGAAGCAGAATGTAACTTGTATTGCGATAGAAAGAGATGGAAAAGCTTAGTTTTAGCAAAAAAAACCTTAAAAAGTAATAAATTCTTACAGAATGACGTAAACAATAGTTAACTATATTTCTATACACGTTTATTAATATATTATACAGCAGAATTAATTGATATCAGACTTACTTAATTAACTGTATATTATTATTCACCGGAGTCCATATCATAAAAGAACCCTTGTGATAACCCATTTGAGCCAATTCTGACTTTTTCTCCTACCAAAATATAGCCATTACATCAATTTATTATAAAACATCGTATTTATATGTACTAAATTTTTATTTTTACTAGTCCACTAGTAAATTGTTAAAATATTAACTTAACCTACCTTCAATAATTTTTTTTCTGTGTTTAATGTGTGCATCATTCTTCTATGTTCGTAAGAATATCGGTTCATTAGTTTCGTCAAGTAAAGTATAAACCCGACAAAATGTCGATATATCCACAAATCGTTTTTCAAGTTTTCGGGTATTGGTAAATTGTTGATTTTATCATGATTTTTAACCAAATACACGTCGTCGTATATTTTGTCAAACATACGAACACTACCTTCACAAGCTAAAACCAATTATCGTACTTTTTGACTTCTTATAATATATGTATATATATATATATATATATCTTATAAATATTTTGTTTAACACCTTGATTATGGGTCAATTGTTTTATTGGTTGTCCTTTTCGAAACTTTCGGATTTCGTTTAATTTTACTTTGATTTTTTCTAACGAATTTAAGTCCGTTTTACGTGCTTCGTCGTTTATTCTGTGTTCCCACCCGTTGAATAAATTGGCTAGTTTTCTAACCAATACCACTGTAGCTTTTTCATCTTCGATTAATCGCAGAAAGTGTCCGCTTTTAAAAAACCGCTTTTGAAACAATAACAACATGAAAGTAACAACGTCCCAAAATAACCCAATGTCATTTCTTAACGTGCCACATGTTTCTAACTTGATACAGTCAATAATAGTTAGGGATGGAACATATTATAATTCTAAACAAATAAGTTAGATAAGTACTTATTATATTTACTCTGAAGTTCGTCGACATTTGTATTCAAACAAAATGTAGAAAGAATACGCATCAGTATACACGAATACCATTGGAAATAATTTAAAAGCAGGCATCCAAATAAATGAAAAAACACCTTGACCAATATCACCGAAACGTTATAATACAATAACCACCGCCAGCTGAAAATTAGTAAGAAACAATTTTACTCGAAAGGAATAATTATTGTATACCTAATTGTATTTTCAATTTTAATTTGAATATACGTTTACCATGCAGAGCAAATTGACCGGATTGTAAACATTTTGGATAACACTTAAATACTCACAGTTTAATTATCTTGTCCAATGGTACTAGATGGTAGTATGTACCTATCCAAAAAAACATTGTTCCGGTAAATAAATAGCCGATCGAAAATGCATTAACGTGATTTATACTGTTCCAAAATATAAAAAATAAAATCATCCACGATGAATTATCGAATACGAAATATTTAATAACATCCAAATACGATCTAAAATTAAAAAAAAAAAAACGTTTATGTTTTAATACCACCTCGAGTTGAACAGTGTATATCTTCTATATACGGTTGTTTATTTTACGGTATGTCGTCAATAGATAGTGGTCAATTAATTGTGCAACAATGGACAATATATCGCGCGACCATTTTATTGTATACAACAGTTGATAGAGTACGACAATTTATGGTATACGACGTTTTCAACAATATATTCAAATTCTAAAGCAGGAAGGCTGTCGAGCTATTAATAACGAGTATTATGAATTTACGGTTTATAAATGTTATATACATGATATACATGTATTAGCATGAATATAATAGGCCAGAAAAAAGAATTTTGCGGTATGTGCAATACATTATTGACTACTTTTTTAAAGTTTATTTCTGAAAAACCTATTATCGTTATTTTAATTGTATAAAGAGTGTATCTTATAATTGTAATCAATTTACTAATCAATCACTATTAATATTATCGTTTCATAAAGAAAAAAAAAATTTAATATTGTATATCTTATATAGTCGAAAGAAGTATTATTAGCAATAGCGTTGAAAATATCGTACACTATCTATTGACATGGATTCATATTTTGTATCTAGTATATATTGTGATACAGTTCTGGAATGTATTTAGTACCCAGTATCGCTCTTGTATTGTGGTACTGGAATCAATGTATCTATCTTATACCTAAAGAATATATAGATACTCTTCTTGCCCTGGATTTTCGAAAAATTCATTAAAAGTTGAAAATGATTTTCGACAAATATTTCAAATAAATTTAATCATCGCTTCTTTTAAAATAAATACTGCGCGAGTGAAAAATGTAATCAACGTTTTAATTTTAATGTATCGATTATTTAGAAATTAAATTATTTTAAATACATAAATTGTATTTGTATCGAGTATCTTTTAAGTTGCATTGCAATATTCGTACTAGTTATATAAGTATCTATAACTAGGAGTACTTTTTAAGTTACAAATTACCGATTAATCGATTTTATATTAATTATTTTGTTCATCCCCTACTTCTAACTATAGATACTGAAAATCAATTTACCGAGTATCTAAATACTCATTTTATATCCTGCCCATCACTGTATATACCCATGCGCAATAACCCAAATATCAACAAACTTGTTCTCCGATATGTAGTCCGGAAATTCATCGTCGTTGTCAGATAACTGCATGTTACTATTATTAATTTTTGTATTGCTTTTGTACGGTGAATTTTGTACTCTAAGCTTTTTAAATCCAGTTAGTTGACGAGTTATGAAAAATAATAATATGAAATCAAATTCTGCGAGAGAAAAATATCCACTATTAAAAATTTAATTTTTGCATTAATTACTATGTTCAATTAAACTTCAGTATTTACGCATTAACGGCCTGATCCAAGCGCCATAGCTCTGATCGTATAATATTATTGATGTGTTTTGTATTATGTTTATTTTTCTCCATGACATGACTGTAAATAAATAAATATGTATATTTGATCGAAAAATGTAAGTATAATAATTATAACTAGCAGTGGCCTGTATAACATTTGTGTGTATGTAGAGGGGTATGTGTTAGATTCAGAAATAATCTATACCCTCCATTACCACTATTATGAGCAAAACGTGTCTAAATTGTCATTATTATAATTATCAATTAAAACTCACTGTTTTATGGTTCTAAAATCGTACGATTCCGACCACCCACACCCCAGTCTCAACCCGTCAATTTTGATTGAGGCAGAGGCCACGCTACTGAAGAGCAGTGGCGTATTTACAGAGAGAAGGGTTCGGACTCTATAGACCCTCCGTCATTGACTTCATTTATACCTGTCTAAAAATCCGGGCTTCCAAACCACTTAGAAAATTAAAAAATTACTTCCCAAAAGTACCATCTGGACAACATTCTCTTTTAGAAATAGTGCCATGCGTACATTTCTAATTTAGATTTCTTGTAGAATTTGTGTACACAGCATAAAAAAAAAAAAAAATAAACATCTTAGTAAAACCAATACATTCTTCGCTACACTCAGAATCTAAAATAAATAAATATTAATATTAAAATTTATTTTTTAATGCATTGTGACAAATAGAATTTCAAATCAAGTGTGTAACTGGGGCGTGTGCAGAGCTCCCTCCCCCTTACATGTGTTTGAACATTTAGCTGGATTTCCTCTATTAAAAATTCCTAATTACGCCACTGCTGAAGAGAAATACAGAATAGTTATACACAAAAAATACCATAATTGAGATTAGATGAAATTATAATTTCCAATATATACTTCGCGATGACCATTAGGTACGCAAAAGAAATAAAATATGGCCAACAACTCAACACGGTACGTTTGTTTTGAATTGAGAATCCTAAAAGCAACACGGCCCATATAAATCCATACAAATCCATACACAAAGAAATGGCGATTGCGATGATAGTGAAAGTGATCTGCAAAGTGTGATCTTATAAATATTCGTCAATATAAATAAGTTGGTCTATAAGAACTTACTTCCACTCCGAAAAGATAAAATCCATCGTTTACCAAGTACATGAGAAATTCTGATATTCCTTTATTGATATCAGCGTACGTAATATTTGGAAATATAGAATCTGGTATTTTCCGAGGATGGTATTTGTGTCTTAAATTAATTATAATCGTTTTTTTATAAACCATTACTAATACAATTACTGTCAACATATGAAAAGCAATCACATATTTTAAGATAGATCTAATGATTTCAGAATAGTACAATATAGATATCGGTGCATATAGATAATATTTTGTTTCTGCGTATACTTACACAACTCGTATTTTATGGAGTAAACCAGTAGCTCGTTTGAATTGAATTTTTTCAAACCGATTAATTCCGCAATGTTTAATTTATGCGTATGGATATTATTATGTTTAATATTTTCATTGGCAGGTGCCTATAATGGACAAATGTATTACTGACCTATCTATCGGTTTTATTAGATAAGCAGAGCATAATTTAAGGGATTTTGATTTTGTGGCACTGTGGACTATGGTACAAGACGAGCACCTACCCTAATTTATAATGTGTCCCCTCCCTGTAAAAAATGTCGAATCTGTTAATGCTGAGTGGTCATCAAATTTCTGTAGCCCAGGCAAACCTGTGGGCCGATTTTGAATTAGAAAAAATAGATTGTCTGTATTAGTTATAGAGCATTATAAAGTTGAAAAATTTCCGATTATTTTTAAGGGACAATCGAAATATGACCTTTCGAAAATGCCTCTCCAGTCAGATTTCCTTTTAGAATAAGTTGTTCACAGGAACAAAAAATCATAGTATTTTACTAATATATTTCGTATATTTTCCCGTTTTTTCTCACTATTTCCTTTTTATTGAGAAAATTGAAGGGGGAATTCAAAAAATGATTTCCTTAAAGTACCACACTAAAAAAATTTTCTTTCACATAAAAGTCTACATCGTATACATCAGAGTAAACTTTCTGGTAGAAAAATAGTGTTAGCATAAGAAAAAATAAATAAATAAATATCTTTATAAAACTAATACACTCTTCGTTACATTCAGAATCTAAAATATTGATATAATATGATAATAAAATAATTTTATAGTTGATTTTAGACTTAGTGTGACAGCTAATTCTGATGTCGTTGTATAATATTTTATATTTTATCAGATAAGCTAGCATGCATGTCATGTGTGACATCTAACCTATTTGTTTATTTTGTTCTGATATTGGCCATAGTTGAAAATCCTTTTACACATAAAAAAGTGGTAAGGAAAAGTAATAGTTTTTTTATCACATTAAATGAAAGTTCTGTATTATACTGAACATCAAAAATCTATAATAGTTAATTTTAAATTTATTTTCATAAATTTTATCACAAGAAAGTTTTATAATCTAAGTTTCAAAAAAGGTATTGAAGTTCTACTCTCCAATAGAAAGAGTGAAAGGTTTTTTAATCCATTGAAAATCTTCACGAATGTCTTTTGGGAAATAACTAATGCAGTTGATAATTCATTTAAATGTAGTAAAATTATTATTTTTTTAATACCAGTGATATTCACCGAGTTGTTATTTTTAATATAATATATAATCAAGATATTTTCTTTATTATTTTAGGAACATCTTGACCGATCAAAAATATTTCGCGACCATAGGTTGAGAAACACATTACAGTCAATTAATCTCTTCTTGCTAACTACTTTATATAATACGTTGAAACACAGGGTGTTTCCAATGTGTCGGCTAATAATTGTCAATAATCATTTTTTTTAAATAGAAATAAGGAATTACCATACGGATTGTTATTCCTTATCGCGTAACGTGTTATTTTATTGAAAATTAAATGTTTTCACGCCTTTTTTTCCACGATTATAGCTGTAACTAAGAAACTATTAATCGGACATGAATGCATGATACATTCAATTTTTTAAAATAATATATTTAACAAAATAGTTTTTTTGAAAATTTTAAAAAGTGAAAAAATAAAAATATTTTTTTTTCAGTGATTATGGAATGAAAATATGAATTTTATATTTCTGTGCACATATTTCCCACCTCTTGCAAAACCCGACTGAAAAAAAAATGAATATTGACAGAGTTATTAGCCGACGGATAACACTGTAGGACACAGTTTAATTTCTGTAGCTAGGTCGACAGGTTTTATATTTAAAATTCGGATTTACATTTAGTTTTTAACTACCTGAAATTGAATCATACATTGTTCGTGGGTAAAGTATGAAAACTGATATCCGACTGTGATAATTATACACAAAACAATGTAAGAAACTATGATGTGCATTAAACATTTCTTGTAGTCCAATAACAACCACAACAACATAAGAAGGAGTATTCCGCTCAATAAACAAGGCTAAAATAAAATAAAATAATTTATACAATATTGGGTACTTACAATCTACATTCTACATAAAATGTATAATAATAATATATGTTTAGAACTCATACATTTGGTATAGGTAGGTATATTACAATATTTTTTTCAAGTATTTTTAAGAATTGTTCACGTACTTATAACAATGAAATGCGCGAGAAAAACGATTTTTTCGCACATTTTACAATTTTAATTATTAAGAAAAACAATTTAAACCGAACTCACTTTGGTCGTGATCAATATTGCTATTAAGGCAGTTTCTAATTTGTCAAGATGTATATGGAAAAATAATGCCGTCGTGTCCCATATTCTCCACAACCACGACATTTGTATAAGTACTTCAGATTGATGACTATTAGGCATGGCGTCGTCAATAAAGCGTTTGGGAAAATAATAGATTCTTTTTTTGATTTCCAATGTGTTGATGAAAGGTTTATGGAAATATTGGAAATAAACATGAATAGCAATTGCTATTGCGGCCGGTATAAATATTCTCACGTGGCCCGTTTCGTCCAATCCAATATCGTCTCGTCTTTAATAATAAATCATAGATAATTATTTAACTAGTAATGAGAAGTTATAAAAATCGCATTGTTTTTTTTATTTATGTCTTATAGTTTTTACTATAATAGCTAGATGAGCTATTATATTATTATAATATAGTATTTTATTATGTTTTATTAGTTTCCAATGTCAGTTTAAAAACGAAAATGAAAACGTTTCGCGTGGTTATGATGGCGTTCAAACGAAAACACCTCACTGTAGCAGAAAAAATCAAGCTGTTTGAGTATTATGAAAAAGAAAATGTCAGTACGTGTGCTCTCGAGGATTAATGTTAAATAGATAGGCAGATCTCAAGCCACCGATTTAATAAAAATATAGATACGGTTTTAAAACTACATGGAAATCTGGAATGGAAAATAGGAATTGGTTTTTTTGTATGTACCCTAGGTATGTAGTGGTCATCTGGAAGTATTGCATTTATGTTAATAGTCACCTCTATAAAACGGCCACTTCTAAATAGTGGTTCACTTCTAAATTATTTTTGGTCCCTTCAAATGGCTTAGGTGACCATTGTATGAAAGTTTTATGTTTTACGTTTTTAGTTTTAAGTTAATTTTTTAGATTCACAGAAGTTTTTCCAATAGTTAATTAACAATGCAGTTTTAATTTGTAATTATTATCTATCAGAGAGTGCATTTTTATTAAAATATATATTTGTATGCTCAAACTCATATAATATACATAAAAAATGCACTAAATGAGTTAATAAGTGAATATTTTTGAATTATTTTTAGATATTTTGCCAATTTTGCCTCCTATAACTACTCATTCCCAATTATTACATACTAGGCACTATAATATATTGGTAGGTACTTACAATTCGTTTAAAATATTCAAATATTTCGTCATGATATCTACGATCCCATAAAATTGAAACACATACCGCACGGTTACTACGATTATAGAATACAATACCACAACGGTCCAATATAAATATATGATTGTTTTCCAAATTCGAAACGATATCTATACAAAAATTAACATAATAGTAATAATACACTGTGTTTAATAGTAGTGTATTCAGAATTTTTAAATTGGGGGAGGGGGATGCTAAAAAGCACAAAAAAAAAAAAACTCAAAAATTAACAATAGTAATCAATTTTATTGTCATACTTAAATATACAGAGTCTTCTAATGACATCAGTGTAAACACTTATTGCCACGAATTTACTACCTAACTCTGTCGGCCCAATATTCTCCGTCTGCTAGTATAAGTTACATGATGTTACCACAGAATGTGCAGCTGCTGATACCTACAACCTAAGTTAGGTTCAATGATTGCTATAAGCCATCGCCATTTTAATAAAAACTGATTTAAAAAAAACTTTCAAATTGAAAAGAATTAAGGGCACTAACCTGTACCGAATTTTTCAAATACATAAAATAAACTATTAAATACGTAAATACATTGATACGACCAATGGGGCATGACCCACTGCTCCCTCCACCGTATAATTATATTATAACTAATTTTTAATAATCTATTAAAAAATAACATAACGTGCACATTTACTTGAAACCAAACCAAGAACAGTAAGGCTAACGCGATGTAACCAATTTGGATTAAGTTGATTGTGTTGTATCCGAAAAATCCGTACGCCAGCATCGTCAATATTAGTAACGAAATCCACGTGTACGGTAGAACGCTTTTCATACTCATCGACAACGATTTCGAGTGGTCGTATATTGCTGTATGTTTAGGCCATTTATAAAATTGATCTATCGCTATCCAAAAAGTCAATGTATACAACGTCTGTTTGAACAAAAATCGTTTACATTTTATACCTATACGAACTGTTGTTTTTATTACAAACGGTACTGTAATTAATAACCGCAATATTATATTTCCATCGATTATAATTGGTTCAGGTAAGCCCAAATTAAAGGTCCGGCGGGCCCCAGGGTCGAACTCGATGATAACTTGAAAATTAATCGTTTTTATAATGATTGTATGTAATTATACGCAGGGACGACCGTAGAGAATTTTTACACTTCAAGAATTAGTATAATAAAACAAAATATACTAACTATATGCTTATGAGACTTATTAATAATAATAGTTAGAACAGTTAAAATAACTAATAAGTAGGTACTAAAGTACTTACTAAACTGTTTAGGTACTAAAAAGAGTAAACAGATTACAGTAACCAACTCACAAACAAATTACTAGTTTACAAAAGCGAACAGTTTACAGCGTCAAAACACGCCTAAATATAGAACACCAAACAATAGCATCGCAGGTCCACTGGGAACGCTCAATATAATATGAGATGACACCGTTGCTATGGAAGTTAACTGCTACGAACATAGGTATGTAATATACTACTCTGTCGGAGCAATTTTACATTTACCACTACGATATTGTTTCAAATTTAAATAATTACGATATTACATTGGGCCACTTAACAACTGCTCCGAAATAATTTTACTCAATTCAAAATTCATATTTAAACCTTGCATTTTGTTACCTTCAAATTGATAATCTGTTATATTTGCATAATTTATGAATTATTTCCCAAAGTTAGACAATTACCTAACGGATACACAAACTTTATGTCTAGGTATTTTATCGAAGTTATTGAAAATATTATTGTATCTAAGTCACTGGAATAACTTAAATCTGTTTTTAGTAGTAGGTACACACAATCATTTTTTAGCAATTAGTATGGACCTTGAAAAATCATTTTAAAAATATCATTTTTGTTCGTCACTAAACTTATTTACTTAGTTTTAAAAACATAATTATGGGTTATAGTTTTACGAAACAATATTATGAAAAAGAATTAGTAAAAAGATAAATTTGAAAAAACCTGTTAAATAACATACATTGGTGGATTACCCATCAATAATATTTAGCGATGAAAATATTATCAATAGAAATGGTATTTGATCTCAGGTATCATAACTCGGTGACGTCAATTAATTCGGAGCTGTAGTCTTTCGTAGCAGTTTTTTTCTAGTTAATACAATTTTAAATATAATTTTAAAGCATTATACTTCCGTGTCAATTGTATTCAGAAGAGTTTCGTAATAATTGTAGCAACCCATATAATACACAGATAACGTAATTCATAATAATATCATTAGTGTAACGATACGTATATTATCCCACTGATCACTGGAGGTGTGAGGATAGTATTAAGTGTACAGTCATAGGCGAGGGGGAATGAACGGTGAAATGCTAACTATGGATTTTAAACGCGCGCCCGGAAGCCGGCGATAGGAACGCGGCAGAGTGTCACGAGTCGGCAGTAGTGCGTACCTAGGAATAGCATCATCCCAGGGAGGAGTGGCCATCATTTGGATACCACAGGCCTACCAGCACGAATCTCACTTGCCTCTCGACTAGACATCCTCAAGATGCACAACTTATTGGCAATATAAGATGATACAAATTATTTAAACATTATCTTGTTTTTTATGTTAACACCACAAAGGTTACATAAATCTACTAACCCATGGCATTTTCGTCCATTCATGACTGTTTCTGCGTCCGTTTCTCATGTATTTACCATTTTGGTCATTATTACGGAAATAAATTAACAGAGGAGGGATATTTTTATATTTTATTATTTCTTTTAATAGATCGTATATATAAACTATTATTATAGTCCAAATTATTATTAAAATATTTGTTCAGTTAGTGCATTTCCACCACCTGAAGGCACTCCCTTCCGGGCATCACTGCTCATACGTGAATGTTTGTACTGTACAATAAGTCTTAACAGACATTTTATAATATACAGTATACATAAATCGCAATAGGCTCTTTATATCCGTGGAATCAAGGGCCATGCTGCATCCCCCCTTTAATCCGAACTTGGGTAAGTACTTACCTTGATACAAATAGCCGTGGGAAAATAGTCTCTTGTATCTATAGCCCATACTTTCAAATCCGATCCAAATATTTCTTTGAGAACATCGATACCCACAATTATGTATATGTATTCGATGAGAAGCGTGCAAATAGAAAACAACAGAATTATTATGAGGTTTCGTCGAGAATTTAAATACATCCAAAAAACTGTGGTCCACAGTAACATTGTCAACGTAAGCCATCCGGGATAGTCGATGCTCCAAGTCTGTGTATGTTTAAAAACCAATATATTCATATATAAGACAAAAAATATAATAATATTAAAGCAAAATTAAAAATATATGTAAACATATGTATTATACGGTATATAGTTTTACACTTACTAGAACAGCGGCCCTAAATCCTATAGTCCTAATGCCGATCAAAATTGTATTTAATAATTTGTGTTTGCTTAAATACAATTTTTCCGTAGAGTGTAAACGTGATGGCTTTTTTGAAATCTAAATAATTTGTTAAAACATAAATATTTAGGTATAAAGAAACATTTTTCGGACCACCAATAGATAACATAACCAAAAAGTGGAGAACTCTCCACAAGGAAAACCAAAAAGTTGCAGAAACAATTAGGATGGAAGAATACCAACTATCCACCAGCGGTACAATTAAGGGTGGGGGATATTTTGGATTGGATACCCCCTATATGAGTGTTTAAGTTGTATAAACGTGTTAAAAAGGTGTTTTTTTTTTTTTAGATTCTGAGTGAAGAAAAGAAGCTTATGGTTTTACAAAGATGTTTATTTTTTTTTTTGTGGACAACGTTTTTACCGGATATCTTGCTCCAATTTTTAAGTGTAGCACCTTTTGTGAAAGGAAATCAGACTGAGAAGGGATTTTTTCGATTTTCTCAGGAGTTTTCTGAACAAATGTGAAAAACCTAAAAGAACGGAGAAAAAACGGGAAAATATACGAAATATATGTATAGGTATATTAGTTAAACAAATATTACAGCCTTTTTTTTCCTATGAATAACTTTTCTACAAGCAATTTTAATCCAATTTACAATGATACCACTTTTTCTAGTAGGATATATAACTGGGGTGGTACTTAAGAGAAGTCAATTTTTGATTTTCCCAGAAATTTTCCTAATAAACCGTATTCATGAATTGTTTTCCTAAATGGGAAAACCGTAGGAAAAACGGGAAAATAGGTACAATATTAAACAAATATTATCATAGAAAATCCTTATGTAATTATTTTACTATAATATGACATATATAATATATATTGTTGACAAAGCAACACTATCAACTGAACTCCGCTCAGAATCGTTTTTTTGTTAGAAATGGTTTATCGTTGTAAACAGATATACATTAAATTTTCCCTCTACTACCTTTCCAACTTTTCATCTATAACAGTTACTGCACCCGCGTGCGAAGTTGCTTGGCTTTTTTTATTTATACATATGACACCCCCTTCAAAAAATCTTGGTTGCGCCACTGATATTTAAATAATACAATTATCTAATAAATATATCCATTGGGCTAACTATATGTGTAAATTATACGCTCAAAGTATAATATAATAAGTAGGTAGTAAGAATTATAGTGCTCACTGTATCCGAATAGAACCACAACAAGTGTTTTTGGACAATTAACAAAACTGGTAGAAAATAATGATGTCCGCGTAGTACGGGCAAAGTATTTGCAACCTGGTCGCACTCTAAACTATTACGGTAGTTGATAAATCCTATTTGCCTGGAAAATCGTTAATTTGTTTTTTTGTTTTAATATTATCCACAATAAATAATAGTAATATAAGGTATGTATGTATTATAATCACTTCGCTAAATGCGTGTCAATGTCGATGTGTAATATCGATCTTAATTGATACGCGAATAACACGAGTATATGGAGACACGTGTAATAACATATCGTTCGAAATAGATACACGATCGTGTTTTCCTTTAGCGGAAACAGGGCGATTATGGTCATGATCGCTAAAAACAATACGTAATAAACGCAACAGGCATACGAAGGCACAATAATACCGTTCAAACATAAAATGGCCAGACACAAGTATTTCCAAGTGAATAATAAATAATGGTTTGATACGTTTAAGTTCGGATGCAGTGACGAAGAATCGTCATAATCTACTCTGATAATGTAGGTCATGTCGTATTTACGTAGATAACGGAGCGCCAATGCGAATACAATCATTAACATAGTGTCCAATGTTATGTCAAATGCGTCATAAACGAACCCAAATGCCTTAAACGTTAGTCCAACATCGTCACCTGAATTTAGTAAAAATCGAACAAAAATAATAAAAAAATTACATATAGGTGGGTGCTCAGCTAACTGCTGAGCACCAAATTCGGACCGCCGATCCGGATTGAACCAAACGTTTAAGCCGGATTATGGTTATCAATCCGAAATATTGATATCAATCTGGATTATTACAATATAAATCAATTAATGTAATATCTGTTGATCGTTTAACTGTCCCGAGTTGTAGCGTTTAATAGTTTCTACTATCTGATTTCTACTTTTTTAGTACCTAACCCATTTTAAACAAATTAATGGATTGATTTGAAATCCGAATTGATGGATTGGATCCGAGAATTCGGATTGTGTAATTGTAATCCAGAATCCGGATTGGTCAAAATATTGCTCAGGGTTAGTAGTTAGAGCTATAATATCGAATCGAGTTCCAGACTAAATAATTTCAGGCGTTGAATCGAGTCCGGAGATAAGACACTAGGTATATTATTAGAAACAAAGCGTTCAAAGGGTCGCAGAACTGAGTAAAACATACGGTGGGAAAATAAAGCTTTTATGGAAACAGACTACCAAGTTATTCATGATGATAGATAATATAATATTTTCATATATCCAGAAGTAACTCAATCAACCTGATCCTTGCAGTATCTCCTATATAAAGTTAAAGATAATCGACCAAAGGTACTCATCAGACTCACTCATCAAAAAATTCGAAAATATTTGTTATACTATTCGAACCCGAATTCGATATCTGCGACTCGATTTGATATTTGAGCTGTGTTAATTTACTTACACGAGTGAACCATCATCTTTTGTCGGTATAGAGGCATCAAAAATAAAAACGATAAAGTTATAATAAGGTAAATCATTTTCGAAATCCATATTAGACAAATCACAACGAACATTATTTTGACGAAACGTATGCACGGTCGTGTTTTCCAAGACGTACCTAACCATAAAACATCATCATTACAATATTACCGATGTAGAATTATGTTAAAAAAAAAAAATCATTAGTTGATATTTCTATTAAAATATCAACGAGCAATTGTATTAAGTTTTTTTTCAAACTTTTTTTTGTGTAAATTCCACCACCCCCGAAAAGGTTAAAATGTTTACATGTAAAATTAAAATGTAAACTCTACCCAACTATATTTGATAGTAGTTTTAATAAAGTTAGTTTATAAATACTAGTAACTATATAGTAAATACTAAATGTACATTATAATAAATACTGTAATAATAAATAAAGAAAATAATATTTCATTATGACCTGAAAGTATAAAAACCGGTTGTGGTTTGGTTTTGACCGTGTTAGAATTGAATGAAAACAAATAGGTGGAAAGTGGGTAGTCCACCTAGGTGGACTTAATGTGTTCTATTGCGAAATTTTAACAGTGCAAATAATAGTAATAATAATAATAATATTAATAATAGTTCTATCTTCCATAACACCAAGGTAACCTTCGAATATACAAAAATAAATAAATAAGCAACTAGATATTCATACCAAATATACCTAAAAACTCATATTTTACCCCCTTAGGGGTTAAATTTTCAAAAGTCATTTCTTATGGCAAGGTGAAAGTATTAGAAGAACCACTATTTCAAATTTCAATTTCGTACGTTGAGTAGTTTTTGAGACACAGTGATCAGTGAGTCAGTGGTATTTGGGTTATATATATATATATATAACTATGTATAGTGTACAGGTTACGTGTTTATTGTACACGTAACCCCTGTTAGGCACATTCAAATATCGTAATTTATTTTACTAACCGTGAAAACATGAAACAATTATCAAGTTTTGAAAACGCTTACCTAAGTATAAATACATACCATTTAATTTATGTGATTTTGCATGAAACACCGGAAAACAAATGATCAAAATTAAATGGATCATCGATAACACATTTTGTCTGAAATATACGCCTGTTGAACACAAAATATGTATTAATAGTATAGATATAGGTACCCACCAAATACAGATACCCAACAAACAAAAATACTTATAAAAACAAAAAAATATCAAATAACCTATAGCCTAAAAATAACTAGAATGTTCTGAAAATTTTACCACGTCTACAAAAGGCCAACATAAGTATTTTATGAAAACTACAGGTCTCTACAATTATTTAACATTAGTTACGATAATGTAAAATCATGAAATCGTTACTCTATAAATATTTATCCGTTGGTTACTACATTTTTACCCAATAATATGAAAACCTGCTTGCAAAATCAAAAAATGACTTCTTTAAAGTATCAACTAGACCATTTTCGGAATTTGAGGTCCAGAATCCAAATTTTTAGATTTATAATAAATCACTACTATATTTATTCTTGTTCAATTTTTAAACAAGATTTATGAATAGTAAAATAAACAAACCATTGCATAATGCATTTTAGAAAATAATAAATTTAAACTTAATTTCCCTCAAATGAACAAAAGCAATATTAAATTTAATAGGTAATTGGAATCCACGGTGTCTAAAATAAATGTATTGTTCACCCTGCTAAAAACCGAAAAAAAAAACGGGATAATGTTCGAAATATATTTCTAAAATTTTTACGGCCTTCTTTTTTCTTGTGAATAACTTCTGAATGGAAATCTTACTGGGAAGGTACTTTAGGGAGGTAATTTTTTGATATTCTCAAGAGTTTTCCCGAAAATGTGAAAAACCGGGAAAGTCCGTACATTAAGTAAATATTATTAAAGAATATATAATAGTTATATTATAATGCATATGTAATTATTTTACCATAATATGATATATTATACATTGTTAACAACACATCATTATCAACTGAACTCTGCTCAGAATCGTTTTTTTGTTAGCAATGGTTTATCGTTGCTTATAGATATACATTATCTGTAACAGTGGCTGCACCCATTTTCATTTACCTAGGACATCTTTTATTTTAAATTTGAATAGATTTTTACTATTTTCACAAAATTTGAACGGCAATTTTTATAAGGTATACAATACGTAAAAAATAGTTCTATTACAGAAAAACTTTGTACATAATTCGGATACACCGAGTTCAATAATATATTCTTTAAAAAAATACGAGGTAGAAAGAAGGGGATCTATTCCCAGATTCACCCCTTAAACGCCACAGGATTCGATATAATTTATAGGTATGTAGAATAGGTAATTAATAGGTACTAAAATAATTTGATTAAATACCTGTTAGTTTATAATGTAATATATTAATATTGATTTGTTTTGCTATTTTAAATAGATATCACGATTTATATAAATATATAGGTACTTACTTATAAATAAACATGTTGGAAGAGTAACGTGGTATAAAATCCACGATAGAATGAAATATCTTTTCATTTTAAACGTTCATTAGACATTGATGTACATATAAATTATTTATACATTATTTTTAATTAAACATTTTTCTTTGTTTATTTATCTATAATAATATAATTGCTGAAAACTCTATAGAAACTGGCTTTATCACACCAATTAATTTATTCAAGGAAATATTGTTAAATAATCAGTTCTCATCGGGTCTTCATGGATCCAGGCTCGGCGTTAAGATTTGAAAGGCCCTGGGTAGATTTATTTTTGTGTGACTTTTTTTTTTAGTGTACCACTGCTTTCATCTAATAATTTTAATAATACCCAACACTTGGCCATGGTCGAAAACCCAGGACTTTGTTACATATCTTAAGTAAGCACTAGTGGCACTAGTTATAGTGAAACTATTTATTTATTTAATAATTTATATAGAGTATAAAAATCCATTTAAAACATAATTATTTACAATAGCATTATTGTGACAATATTACTTAATATACATAATTAGAAATATAGAAAACAAAATATAATGTACAATAATGAATATGATTTTAGATTACATGCAATTTCAATATTATTAGAGTTATAATCAATTATATTGTCACATAACGCTATTGTAAATAATTATGTTTTAAATTAATTTTTTGTTGTTCACAAAAGTTGTTCACAGGTAAAAAGAAGGCCGTAATATTTCAGAAATATATATTCCCGTTTTTTTTTTTCGATTTTTAGCAGGGTGAACAATACATTTATTTTAGGCACCGTGGATTCTAATTACCTATTAAATGTAATATTGCTTTTGTTAATTTGATGGAAATTAAGTTTAAATTTATTATTTCCTAAAACGCATTATGCAATGATTTGTTTTTTTTACTATACATAAATCTTGTTTAAAAATTGAACGAGAATAAATATAGTAGTGATGTAATATAAATATAAAAATTTGGATTTTGGACCTCAAATTCCGAAAATGGTCAGTTCAGCGGTTCTTAACCTTTTGTAGAACACGGACCCCGATGAAAGATTTTTAGAAATCGCGGACCCCCTACCAATTTTTTGTCGAATACCTTTTTTTTACAAAGCATATCAAGTTATCATAACCAAAATTATAATAACTATTTTATATTACNAAATTGTAATATAAATTATTTTATTCTTAATATTCTTAAAACTTAATTTTTATTTACTTAATTATTAAGTTTTAATGCGATGGTTGATGTTGCATTTCAGTTACGAGTTTTTGAACATCGGGCTCAATACTCGAAATCTTTAACCGTGGTTCAGATTCTACGTTTTCTATTTGGTTTCGAAACTTATTTTTAATATAAACGAGGGCGGAGAAGGCTTTTTCACATAAATAAGTTGTGGGGAATGGAATCAAAACTTTCAGAGCATTACTCGATAATTGTGGATAACCCTTTCGAACATGCAACCAAAAATTTTCTAATGACTTTTGATTGAATTGAATTTTTAAACTAGTATCTGTAGAAATTTCTTCAAGGCTGTCTTCTTCCAATGATGTCAGTTCATTTATTTGATGAATATCAATTTCAAAAGGTTGTCGAATCCAATTTCTACTTATATCTGGAACAAGAAAGTAATCACGGAAACTATGTTGCATATCACCCATATGCTGTATGAAATATTTATAATTTTTATCTGACAATTCTTCTTCAGTTGATTCAATAAAACTTTTGAGATTTGAAAATGGATCGTAATTCTTCTTGAATGAACAAGAAAAACTGATAAATATATTAATAATAAAATTATTAGGTTTAGATACTTAATGGTATCGAATTCCACATTGTCATCGGTGTAATAAAGGTAAGATAGGTCGCAGAAGGTATTGTAAGGCTTACAATATAAGATGATAATATGTATTTTATAATTTTATATGAAAAGAAAAAATAATAATCCAAAAATATTGTAATAATGCTCTCATGTTACGTATTGATTTATGTTAGGTGTTAAGACTGCCGTGGACCCCCGATATGAGTATTGCGGACCCCCGAGGGGCCGCGGACCACAGGTTAAGAACCTGGTCTAGTTGGTACTTTAAGGAAGTCATTTTTTGATTTTGCATGCAGGTTTTCATATTATTGGGATTATAAAATACTAAAACTAAATGAATTATTTGAAACTATTAAATCTCAGTTTATTGTAAAATTTGGTGTATTGTTCTTGTATAGTATAATTTTTTATCATCCTATAATTTAGCATTTTTAATTGAAATGTTAATAATTTTAGATATAATATTGCATGTGATAGATAACCTTTACAATATTTTTGTAATGGAAAAGTATGTTTTATAATACTATCAATAAAAGAGATAACTGTAATTTTTCCTTGCTAAATAAAATTCTATAACTGTCTAAAAGTAGAAATTACAAAATATTGATTATCTTTTTGTTTCTCTATTTATCATGGTCCTTCATTTAGATAGTTTAGTTTTCAATGAAACACAGTATTGTTTATAAAGAGTTGACCACCATTTTCCAAAATTAAATATAATATTATACTACTTATAACATTAAATTTGATACAACACTGTAAATTCTGTCATGGTTTTGAGAACTCTTGTTTGATAATCTCTTTTTACCTTTACACATTTTGTAACAATTAATGTAAGTTTAACTATAGCCAAATTATAGTTTTTATTTTGTCGCCAACAATTATCAGAGTATAATCTTAGTTAAAAGGTACCCATATATTACAGACAGTTAATTTTTAAAATATTATGTATATTTCAAAATAATTTCATATCGACAAGGTGATATAACCAAGAGCTTTTATAACACGGTTTTTTATATATTAGGTATACATATAAAATTATATTATTAAAATATGAATATGTTTCTCCCCTTTGAAATATATTATTATTCAATATTCACCACATTGAATTTAATTAATTCAACTTTGTTTTAACTTTTTCATTTAATTTGTACCTAATATTGTATTTATATTTTCAAATATGTATTAATATTAAAGTGCTTACTGCTTATATAATATATATATTTCAGTTCAACTAGAAATTAACTAAATAAAAAAACACTTCAATGTAATACAATATGCCTTAAATATATATCAAATTAATTAAATTAATACAAATTATGGATAACTTGGTGAATTTGTTTCATTTTAAAATTAAAAGAAAACAAAGGCTTTTTTGTTATTGTTATTATTTAAATATTTTAAATTCACTGTAGTACAGAGGCATATTAATTATTTAATGAAAAAATATATCAAATATATTGAATATTTGATTTTTGAACATTTCCCCAACCGTATTCAAAGAAGCTATTGTTGTTCCATTATTTAAATCTGAAGATAAAACTTTATCATTGAATTGATCATTTTCTTTAACTTAAGTAATCATTTTAAAAAAATGCATTCAAATTAGGCGTGTAAACTTCCTTAACAAATATAATTTTTTGCTTGTTGACAATTTGGTTTTAAGGAAGGGACTTGCTAATGATACTTTATTTAATGTGCTAATGATTTAATATTATTAACTACATTTATAAATGTGTTGTCATGAGAGTTAATGTAATTGGTGTATTTTTGGAAATTGAAAAGGCATATTTTTATATTGTAAACCAATCTTCTAATTATTAAAAAAATTAGATTTACCTGTGATAAGTGGGTTTTATTTTTAAATTAATTAAGTTATACTTAAATGATAGAACTATGATAGTCAATGTAATGATGATTATAGTAATGATATTAATATTTCAATTTGCTGCTTAATGTTTATGTTAATAGCTTCTTCCATAAACAGGTAATATTTAAAGTTTTGATAATGATACTGTGATAATTTTCATTATCACAAATATTGATTTTCTATTTAATAAGGTCCCTTGTTTATTAAATTAGATTGTTAAGATAATTAGAATGTGTAACTAATATATGCTTGAAATCATGTTAATAATTAAAAATAAATATAAAATATTTGCATATTATATTTATTCAATTTACTTGTAATATAAATAATATAACAAGTTGTAAGTCCTTTTATGTGGGTTATCATTGTATTTGTATATTGTATAAAATTATTTGTATTCAGTGCTATTGTTGAAAAATATTTATTGTCAGTGATCAAGACAGAAGGAGGATTGCAGGTTATAATTTCTATTCCCTTCATAATGTCATCAACGATTACTTTTTAAGTAATTAAATAGTACATATTTGTTATTTTTTAGATATACATAAGTAGTCAAATGTTATTTACTGTTCCATTAAAACATAAATATAGGTGTACTATTTGTGGATAGTGTCTTATTAATATGTTGACATTTGAATTTTTTTTAAATCAAGTATATGTGTGGTTGATAAGGCTATGAAACTACCTTATTAAATTAGGATTTATTCATTATCAACTAAAACAATTTGATGAATCAATTTTCTATTTGAAAACTGCTATTCATAAATTGTATCCAGAAATAAATGTTGATTTATTACATTTATTGGGACATGCATATTATAATAGTGGAAATATTGTGTCTGCAATGAAAACTTCCTTTTTATGTTTGAAATGTTATCCAAAAATCTAGTTGTATGGCATGATATGGGTATAATATATTTAAATCACTTTCATAATACAGCAGCTGCCGAATCATATTTTAAATTGTGAGATAACTTGGATAGAATAAACCTTTTATATTACAAATCTCTTACTATTGTATATCAATAACTAAATAAAAAAATGTAAAATTGTAATTATTTTTTTATACAGGTCAATTATGAATTTTAAGAAAAAAATTGTATAGAATTATTATTAAAGATCTAGTAATTATCCNTTTGTTATTATAACCAGTGTTGGCCAAAAGCAGTAACTCTTAAAAATGATAAAAAATAATAGCTCATTTCATCCAAAAATATGTAAATTATTCCAAATAATCAGTTTTTTTGTCCCTTTTTACCACGAACTCAGACATACAGAATTGGAGAACCTAACCAACTCACATTTTGGTGAGTTTCTCATGCCCCATTTGTGTAAGGAATCTGCACATCTACCGTGCGAAGTTCGTATTCGGTTAAGTGTACACCATAGATTGCGCTGTAGGTCAAATCCTGTGGGTATATGTCCTGGTAATATGTTGTCTAGGATGTTATCATTCTCTACCATAGCTGCCCACATTTGTTTCCATTTCATCATCATATCAAAGTTTGCGTTGATTAGGTCCTTGGCTGTTTTTGATGGGGGGTTTCTGGACTTAAATCGTGTTTTGGTCGCATCACCAATAAAATTATTAATGGGTAGTTCGTGATTGAGATTTATTTTTGAGAACTCTTTAACTAAGGCGTACGCTCTGCGGAGTGGTGGGGGGCAAACATTATTGTTTGTACATAATTTTAGCAATCTTAAATAGCTTTTCATGAGTGATTTAAATGTGATAAATACTTAACCATGTGATATCAAAGACAAAAAGATCCAGTTCATAATTTTATTATTATAAATATATTTTTACCAGTAGTAATTTATAAAGTTATAATCCAAAATGTTTTGTACAGTGTCAAAGTGATAACTGATAACAAATCTACTAACTAAATAATTCCCATACAGTTGTCACTTGTGTTTGCTTATAAAATAGGTACATAAATATATAATTATCATAAATGTGTTCTTTAACTTTGTTATAAAACGAATCTCCAAGATAAAAAAAAAATAGATAAGTTATGGTTGAACTATTGATTTTTTTATGTTGATAATGAATATTATACCTACATTTTATGGTATAATGCATTTTCATTTTTCATTTTATTAAAACTATTGTATAGTTTTAGTAACCAATAATTAGTTTTTAATTTCATTTTTATTTTTGCAGGATTCCTTTTCAAAATCACCAATATTGGAAATAATCATTTTACGTGAATAAACTTTCAAAATCAAAATGGTATGCACTTATTTATGTTAATTTTTTTATACTTTCGGTTCTGAGTTACTTTTTTAGATTATTTTTTTCCTGAGAAATTACTTAATTGGTAAAATATACTCAGATTTTTAGTTTCTGAGTGTAGCAAGTAATGTATTGGTTTTACAATAATGTTTAATTTTTTTTTTTTTGTGAACAATTTTCTGCTAGAAATGTTGCTCCAATTTTCATGTCTAGTACCTTTTCTGAAAGAAATATTTTTACTGGGTGGTACTGTAAGGAGGCCATTTTTTGATTTTCCCAGTGGTTTTTATAATAATTTTAAAAACAAGAAAATGTATAAACATTTAAAAACAAAATATTGCTCCGAATTGTTTTTCATTAGCAATGGTTTATCGTTCTTTACAGATATAAATTAAATTTCCCCCTATATCCTATCTTCCCAACTTCATCTATGACAGCCTCCCACCCACCATGCAGAGTATGTCTTTTTGTTTTTTTTTTTTAGATGTTTTTATTTTGAATGTTGCAGAGTTTCTGCCTGATGATTCTTTATTTCTATCAATTTTCTTTTTAATGGAAAATTGTCTTTTGAGTTGTTAACAACATTAATTTTTGTGATATCTTCATTCAAAACGTTTTGACTCCAATAGTCTATCATTGATCTCCGCATGTAAACCTTTTAACCTACAACTGTAATTATTTGACAAATAATTTCTGCTGTAACATTTAAACGCATCCGTAATAATGTAGGGAATCTGATTGTATTTATTCTTTATTAATATTTGAGTTAGGTTTACTTCTTATTTTTAGTTTAGTTTGTGACTTATTTATATTGTTAAGGTTATTTTTTTAAAACCTATAATGTACACATATTAACATAAGACTGCCAAATGCATTGATATGTATAATATACTGTTGTATATTATATCTATTTCTGATATGAGTATAATATTATTACTTCTTATTTTTACAGGATGTCTTATTCAAAAAATATTCAAACTCTGGAGATCCAATATCAGTAGTACTGGATACATTACCCAAAAACGAATCATATAAGTAAATAATATATTAATTTATTACCAGGTCTTTTTTTTTTTGTTAACATAAAGGCAATTATCCAATTCAGAGTAGGCAATATCATTATTGGTGTCTAGGGCCAAAAAGTAAAAATACATTTTTCACAGACTTCAATTAGAACACATTTTATTTTATTTAACCTTCAAGTAGGTGCAAATTTAGTGCATAGATAAATGCTTGACTGGCATTCGAGCTATACCAACCATATTATCATACATCTAAATAAGTTAATAGAGAATACCTATAGTCTGTCCCAGGAGAGAAAGGTCCGCTTCTGTGCATGTTTTCCCCCTCCATATAGCCGATTGTTATTTCTTCCGTCGTCGGTTTATGACTATACACCGCTAGGATATTTTGTAGAAATTCAATTGTTATTATTATTAGACATCGCGCATCGCACGTTTATTTACCTTTGCTGTTTTATAACCTCTTGATAACTTTTCAAATCGTAAACTATCGTATATACAAGCACCTTCTATAATAATCCAGACTTTATTTCTTTTGTATACATATTTATTTATTTAATATCTTATTGAACACTGTAGGTATAATTCAGTAGGTATAATAAAGTAGGTATAACACAGAGATATATATTTAATAAATAATAAATAATTATATTAAAACATTTCATTTTTTATTCGTTAAAATTACAANATCCGGGAGGGAATAAATGGATAGTGTTGCGGCGTGGGGATGCGCAGTAGCGCTTCGATTTGGTCGGAGAGCGGACCGTTCTCTCCTGGGACAGACTATAGAAGTGCTAGTAATCTACACAGATTTATTTATTAATTTTATCTTAAATGTGGTATGAATACTGCTTGCCCGCCCACCGGAAGGTTTAACAAAAGTTTGTAGTTATATCAAATTTAATTTAAGTTTATCACTGTTTGATATATTAATTTAACAAGTTTTAATAAACAAACTTATTTTTATGATAATAACACATAATAATAATGAAAGTAAAAGTTAATGTTATTTTTAAGTTTGAATAGCATCAACCAATTTCTTGATTGTGGGTTTAATATTCAATGAAGAAATTCTCTATACAGGATTTAAATGAACACCGGTTAATTGTGAATTACATTTGATTTTTTGATATTTCACTAGAATAAAAATTTGTTCACAAATCGCCTGCCCCTAGGAAAAAGGTCATATGTCACTTATTTGTTCAGGCAGAAGAAATATACATCAAATAATTGTGGGATATTTTTTGTTATTTTTAAATGTATCTACTGTTTGTAGTGTCTTATAAACTACAAATGTCTATTAAATCTTAATAAATATTAATAGTTGAGTTGTGTTCGAAATATCTGTCCTCTCCTTTTATAGCTATCGAAAAACAATTTTAATGGTCATATGATCTTCGTGTTATCTATCTAAAATAGATCACCGATCACGAGATAAATACTTAATGATAGAAACAAAAATTACCATTTTTAAGGTATATATGTATTTTTTTTATTGTTTGGCAGGGCAATAATAAACAAGAGTGATAGGACAATACATTTAGTACATCATACTGGCGGGGTGATGGCAAACAAACACCAAATAGTTTCATTATTTCTGCACATACTGCATTCGCTATAGCTATTATGTATTTTAGGGCGCAGGTTATTTATATTTCAAAACTAATTTTTATTTAAATTTTGAAGTGTCAGTCAAAAATCTGTTAAAAATAAGTCTCTAAATTTTAAGCTTGTTTAATATATTTTAAATATGTAATTAATATGTTTATTGTTTACACTGTTTCTTAAAATGATTTTGTAGATTAATAGTTGATTTTTTATAGATTTCAAAAAATGTTGAAAAAATTGAAATTGTCAGGCCGTCATAAAGTTAAAGATTTAATAGAAGCAATAGATGTGAAGGCCAGTACAATTTCTTACAATGAATTAAATAAATATTTTAGTGTTATTAAGGTAACTACCAAAATTTAACAAATTTATTATTTGAATATAATTTTGATTATTTGTTTTTTTTATTTACAGATTTATGGTAAGTTGATTGTATGGGGGAAGCACATCAGTGTTGTTAAATTATTTGTTCAAACCCTTCTTGCGACATTAGTATTTTGAAAACCTAATTTTACATACAGCCTTTGTATATTTTTATTACTTTCGTTTTTTCGTCAAAATTAATGTATTAAAAATAGCTGTCCTAGGGTAATGGGTGCAGCTACTGTTATAGATAATTTAATGTTTATCTATTTATTAGCAACGGTTAACTATTCCTAATGATAAAACAAAAAACGATTCTGAGCGGAGTTCAGTTGATAGTGTAGTTACTTTATCAAGAATATATATATATATATATATATATATATATATATATTATATCATGGTAAAATAATTACATAAGCAATATATATTTTCTTTAAAAATATTTCTTTAATATTGTACCTATTTTCAAGGATTGCCTATTTATTGGAAAAACTACTGAGAAAATAAAAAAACGACCTCTTAAAAGTATCTCACCAGTCAGATTTCCTTTTAGAAAAGTTGCTGTCATTATAAGTAGGGCAAAATTGTTTGTAGAAAAGTTGTCCACAGGAAAATATAAGGACATTATATTTTTATCTAGTACCTATATTTCTAACATTTTCCAGCTTTTCCTCTGTTTTTTTTTCAGTTTTTCACATTTGCTGAGAAAACTCTTGAGAAAAGAGAAAAATAACCTCAATAATGTAACTTCCCCTCACACAGAATTTCTTTCAGAAAATGTGCAACAAATAAAAATCGGGTCTAGATTTTTGGTATAAAAGTTGTCCACAGAACAAGAAAAAAAACATCCTGGTAAAATCATAAGATTCTTTGCGCATTCCAGAATCTAAAAACGCTTGTTCGTGCATGTTACCTATAAATGGACATCGATCAGTAGATTAGTGCAAAAGATTTATTATAAAGTTATTCAATAAAAATAAATAAAAAAAAAAATTTTAAATGTTGAAAACCAGCACTTTTTAAAAAATAATTCTAACATTCCTGTTGTGTAAACAATTAAATATTAATCACTAATTAATATGACAACTATATTTTAAAAACAACTTCCATTAGCTATCTAGTATTATGTAGTTATTATCTATGATAAAAGGGTTATTATTAGTTGTATTATATTCTTCAATTACACACATATTTATCTAGAATTCTCTGTCTACTTCATCTTTAGGTTTAAAATATATGGTTAAACTTTATGATTGAATAAACAAGGTGGTGTCCCATAACGTTTTTAAAAGTGTAACACTTGTGTTTCGTTAAATATTTTAATTATTACTTTTTTGTATAATTAAAATCTTGTGCTATAATTCCTCTGTTATATATTTGTTTAAAACAATAATCTAAAATTACTCTGGGTAAAAAAATTGTGAATCAATTGATATTATTTAGTAGTGGCTATTAAGACTATTTATATGATCTTTTGAAAACTTTAAAAAATATCTTCAATTATTCTCCAATTTTTCCATTCTGAGCTAAGGGAGGAATCTATTGGTTTTTCATGATGTTTATTTTTTTATACTGTACACATTTTTAAATAAACTACAACCCACAGATATGAATATTGCACTTTTGCTATCCACATCCTATTATATGCAATGAAAGTATGACAAATCTTTAGAAAGTTTACATGAACTTCCACAGAAATATCAAGAAAGGGCAGAAGTATTAAATAATATTGGAGCAGTTTATTTTCAAAAAAATGATTTTCAAGAAGCTTGTAATAATTATCATTTAGCAGTATGCAAAAAAACAGATTTCGTTGACTGTTGGATAAGTTATATTTTAGTATTTATCAAAAAGAATGATGTTGCAAATGCTATTCGATCCCTAAACATGATACTTCATTATAGGCCTAACTTATGTAAACCATATCTAATATATGGCTATTTACTGATAAAAATGAATGAAATTGAAAAGGCAATTTTAAGTTTTCAAAGGGCCATAAAATTAGAACCTAAATGGCATTTATCTTGGATAGGATTGGGGAATAGCTATGCATTAAAAAATAATTTACATAGTGCAATTATATGCTATGAAAAAGCATTAACAATTAAAGATTCTGCAATAGATCCTCTTATTAATTTAGGATTTATTCATTATCAACTAAAACAATTTGATGAATCAATTTTCTATTTGAAAACTGCTATTCATAAATTGTATCCAGAAATAAATGTTGATTTATTACATTTATTGGGGCATGCATATTATAATAGTGGAAATATTGTGTCTGCAATGAAAACTTCCTTTTTATGTTTGAAATGTTATCCAAAAATCTAGTTGTATGGCATGATATGGGTATAATATATTTAAATCACTTTCATAATACAGCAGCTGCCGAATCATATTTTAAATTGTGAGATAACTTGGATAGAATAAACCTTTTATATTACAAATCTCTTACTATTGTATATCAATAACTAAATAAAAAAATGTAAAATTGTAATTATTTTTTTATACAGGTCAATTATGAATTTTAAGAAAAAAATTGTATAGAATTATTATTAAAGATCTAGTAATTATCCTCAAAAGGGTATCTTAAGTATTTCTTGCATTATGTTAACTATTCCTTTTGAAATAAAGAAAACTAAATAGAATATGATGATTGTTTATTTTTTATTTTAACATTATATTTTTAAATTATTAAGATACCAATAAATAGTACACGAGACTATTATTGTAGTACTGTGTATTTTTTTTTTTTTTTTTTTTAAATATTTAATTATATTTTTCGAAGTATTAATCCTTGTAGAATCTAAATAAATCAAATTCAAATTTGTAAAATAAAAAAAGAAAATGACAAATTGTGTGATTATTTTATTAATATTATAATAAAAAAAAAAAAATAAAATTTATTAAAATATAAGTTTTCATGTTTGTTTAATATTGATGTTGGTTATTTTAGATTATGAGTGGAGCGAAAAAACTGAGTTTTTTACAAATATGTTTATTTTATATATATATTTTTTTTTGCTGTTAACTACTTTTATCCCAGAAGAATTGCTTGGTTTTCTGAGTGTATCACTATTTATGCTACAAAAAAGCATTAACAATTATATGTATTAGTTAAAATTTATAACTGTCTTTTCTTCTGTAAACAACTTCTCTGCCAAAAATTCTGCACTAAACTATTATGGGTAGCAATGTTTCTAATAGGCAATTTTACTAGTTAGGTATTTTTAACTGGTATGACCTATTAAGAGGGCGTTAAACACTATGAACTCTTTCTCGTGAGTACGTTTATGTTTTCAAAACAGTGGAAGCTTCCGAATAAGGGATGAATTCCCGGTGACCAAGAGTATCCGTTTTTCAGAGGTTCCACAATACTAATTTATATTTTTAGTCGATTGGAAATTGCCTAAAATTTGACTTTTCATAGTCTAGAGAAAACCAATCTAATTGCTTTTAGGTAGTTTACCCTCAGATTAATATTATTCCCAGTCCACTAATCACATTATGTAATCCACTCACATGGATGTTACTTATTTGATATGTTTCTTCCGTGGTTTATATTACAGGGCTATGATTATATTTCCTCCTACCATCATCATAGATAATAAATCATTTTTTTATTATCTATGATCATTGACCACCATGGAAATATTCCGTACTTCCGTGTTCACTCAAATTGTGCTCAAAGGTGTTTTCCTAAAATTGATAACAAAAGAAAAATTATCAGATCAAATTGACCAACACTTAAAATTAATATCCCAAAACCATTACCATAATGATAATTATATTTTATGTAAAAATTTGAATATATTGTACATAATGGTGAATTTAGGTGAACTTAGAAAATGATATCTATTTCGTGGTAAAGAGGGACAAAAAAACTGATTATTTGGAATAATTTACATATTTTTGGATGAAATGAGCTATTATTTTTTATCATTTTTAAGAGTTACTGCTTTTGGCCAACACTGGTTATAATAACAAATTTATAAAATGGTTGTGTAAAATAAAAAATAAACAATCATCATATTCTATTCAGTTTTCTTTATTTCAAAAGGAATAGTTAACATAATACCATAAATACACATAGTACATAAAGATACCCTTTTGAGGATAATTACTAGATCTTTAATAATAATTCAATACAATTTTTTTATTTAGTTATTGATATACAATAGTAAGAGATTTGTAATATAAAAGGTTTATTCTATCCAAGTTATCTCACAAGTTAAAATATGATTCGGCAGCTGCTGCATTATGAAAGTGATTTAAATATATTATATGTTCTTTTAATCAGAATAAAATAAAAATAATACCTAAAATAATGATAAATATAATTTGTTTTTAAAACTGAAAATAAACTCTTGTAAGATTAAGATAAATCTGAGACTTTTATATTGAAAAGCATAAAAATTATATTATGCTGTTATTAGTAGAAACTATTTTTTTTATAAAACTGTTAAATTAGTATTTTATATATATTTCTTAAAAGCAAAACAATTTGCTAAAATTACAATTAATTATTTTTAAAAACATTTTGCATTATAAGAATAAATATTTTGAAACATTTTGAAAATTTTTTTGAAAAATTTCTTAATTTCTAATTGTTTGATTGCGTACTTAACGTACAAATCCTATCGACTGCGCCAAATTTATTAACGGACCCAACGTTGGAATAGGACTTTGAGGAAAAATGTTTGAAATAAATAAAACTCCAACTTGAGTTTATAAATAATACATATTTTCCACACAAAAAAAACTACAAGTCCAATAAATAAATTCACAGAAATAATAAAAGTCCAAATAATTCGATTCACAAACATCGAAAAATATTCCAAGTCCAATTTAATTTCACGCACAAAAATATTACATAAACCAAAGTGACGCGAAATAGCCCGCATTTTATCGTGGTGGATTCGTCTGGTTAGACGATGTTTCGGGCAGCGGCATAAATGCTCTGAAGGACCTCCGGAACCCGTCGTTCGTAGTGCGGCTATCCACATTATTTCGTTAGTGACAATTTTTATACTTCCTGGAATCCGAGTATTGCTCATCGGTTCGCGCGTTTTGTTATAAATATTATTAGTTTACTTCACGACCGTACCCCAGCAACCCGTTATTCGCAGCCGCTACTATCTATGTTTTATCGCTACCCCGGATTCTGGCGATGGCCAAAACCGAAATTACATATGTACTGTTATTATATCAATATTACAATTATAACATGTTTATATTATGTTAAGGCCTATATTTTGGTGCTGTATACTTTACAAGCCTGCTGCATCGGGTAGATATTCGATTTCATGTATGGTAAGTACTACCATATGCGGCTTGCACGCGTCTCTTGCGGAGGGCGCGTGTGTGGGCACGTAACAACGCCGGCACACAAATGCAAATTTTGTCAGTATAATACCGAAATTGAGAATTCACTCGATAGGCTCACTCATTCAAAAAATATATTATCCGCATAAATACGCGGAACCTGATTTTCAAAAACACAAATATTTGCGAAACATAAGTACATTGGAATAAATATTTTGTGACATTAGTGGACATTTCTTCCAAAAAAAATTATTCCAACGCACATTTGTTTCGCAAATGTTTCTTTCAATGGACTTTTGTTTCGTGATACTTTGTTCCACAAAACGTTTTATGAATCAAATGGTCATTGGACAAATAGTTTTGGAAGAAATCGGACTAAATGTTTATGTTAACACACAGTTTGTGGTACGAGTATACTATATTTGAACACTTCTTCCAAAATCATTTGTTCCACAAATTTTGTGGAACAAGTGATTATTGGAATAAATATTTTGTGGAACAAATATTATAGGACCCATATGTAGGCACCAAGATAGAAACATCGTTTTAAGCAGTGTTATCATGAAACCTTAATCTTTAATAATAATAATATATTATAATAACAGTTATCGGATATCGCCATAAAAAAAATGAGATAACAAACACATCTAGTCTACTATTACTCAATGTCCACCACGTCATATTCTCATCAACCGACTCTGAAACACGGTGAGTGATAAAGCCATCTTTGTTACCATCAGAGATTTTCAGATTTAAAAAGGAACAACTTCGATGGCATCGATACCATTACAGATGAATTTTGGAACTCAATGTATGATAATGTATGATATGTATGTATAGACATGATATGATCCAACGACAGAACACGAACGATCAACGAATGAACCAGTTATTTTTCGTGATCCGAATCGTTTAGTTGCAGTTGGTCATTTTGGTTTTTATTTTTGTTATTACACGTATAATCACAACTCCGGGAGAACAAGTAGGATTCCATTCACAAAGACCAGTTCGTGAAGACTTGAACGGCACTTCAGCTCCAGGCTGTCTTGTTCGTTATCTCTTCTCGTCGATCTCCTTCTCTCCGACTCTACCGGTGTAGCCGATTATTATTAGGTAGGTACTTTATATTGGACATAACCGTTTTCGACCAAAATTGAAGGGCTTGGTTTAACAACCAGATAAATCCACTTTTTAAATTGTTCAGTATGAATAAAAATAATTTTTTTTTTACCAATGAAAATTTAGAAAAAAAATTTTTTTTTGACCAACTTAAATATTGTTTTTAACCCAAGAAACTTGGTAGATTTCTTACATCATATCTTAATATTCTATTGGTGATGTAACTCCGGAGTTATCTGGTTGTTGCATTAAAAACAAAAATAAGATAAATCTAATTTCATTAAAAACTATACATATATTTATCAGATTTAACTGGTTGTTGCACCTAAATGTAGGTAATTTTTTCTTACATAATAATCAATGAAATAGTTCATTTTCAAAAAAAGTCAATTTATCTGGTTGTTGCACCAAGCCCTTCAATTGCACCCTTTCCTTTTCAGCCAAACCAAAAATATATAGGTAAGGAAGATAATCTATAATAATAATATAAGAAAATAAAAGTATCTTTTTTCAGAAAAAAACCTTAGGTACCTATTTGTTTTCAAAAGCTTTCGGTATTCGCTAAACATTAAAAGTAGTTTTGGTTGGACACAAAAGTTGATACTTATATTAAAATCAACAGGTTTTCATGACTTCATCGTAGCTTTATAACCATTGATTAAATTGTTTAAAACTAAAAGTAGGTATATCATATGTTAATATAAAAATATTGTTATTAAATCTTTTTTTATATGTATAAATTAAAATTTCGTTTTAAATATTTTACACTTTTTAATATGTATGATATTCTTAGTAACTTAATATTGTTTTGGTCGAAGTGAATTGGCTGAAAAATGAATCAGCTGAAAAGGGAAGGGAAGGCTATTTTGGTCAAATAGGGTCTTGCTCATTGAATTACATTTATATTTGTTGTAATAAATTAACATTTTTATTTCTTACTTATTGTGTTTGACTTTTATTAATAATAATAATTTATTGGCCACACTACGCTTATACCTATATGACTCCCTAATGTGCCACAATATTATGAACATTTGCTGATTGTAAGTCACTTTTCTTTAACATTTTTCTCAATTAAAAACAGTAAATCTGAGTAAATAATACATGTTTTTTTGAAATTATCATTATCTCTAATATCAAGTTTTAGCATTTAGGATCACACAGCAGCACTCTCATCCTCTGCATTCATAATATTGTTTATTCTTTGTATTATGTACATTTTAACTTCTAAAATATTAGTTTCCAAAAACATTTATTTGCACTTTCATCTTCAGCAATAAAAAAAAAATTAGCAGTAAAATTAGGTAGCAAAAATATATTTTTGGAGTTCCAATGGTAAGTAATCTAGTGCTTATAGATATCTACTATGTTCTTCTCAACATTTTAAACATCTAATTGATATTTTGATTTCTGATTGCAACTATCTTTGGTAGAACATATATTTTATGGAATGTAAGGAATTATTTTTAAATTATATGTATAGGAAAATTATAATGTGAAATTTATATCTTTGAATAATCTTCATCGGAACTGACATTTCATGAATTACGATAATTTCAATAAATTCTTTTTAGAAGTATTATTATTTCAATAAATTCCAATAATTGTCTCTTCTTTGTAATATATTTAAAATATTATACAATTTCACTACATATCAAAACATATATCAATAGATAAAACTATTTTTTAATCAAATTGAATAGTGAAATTATTAAAAAAATCTCTTTAGTTTGGTATAACTATTTTTGTTTCAAGTCTGTTAGAGCCAGAGTTATATTGGAACTCCAAAAATATAGTTTTGCTATATTCCTATTAAATAGACTACATGTATGGTCTGTGATTATCCTTTAAATGATATTCTACCTATAAATCCGGGAAAAATCCTAGATTTAATAATTATCTTTGTTTGTAAGTGACTATTAATTTGAACTTTATTTATCTTTCTGTATTAGAACTCTAATCATATTATCTTATATGTTATCACAGACTCAAATTACAAATTTATTACTTTACTTGTCTTTCTTTAATTTTAAAATTGAATTTCCCTGGGTAATATCTTGGTTATTCTGTCAAATGCTCAAAAGTGTTGATTGTAAATGTTTTAAATTCTTAGTATTCGTGAAAAAGTTTTAAAAATTTTGAAAAAGAGTAAAATCTCTAAATTAAAAACAAAAGGTAATATTATAAATAAAACAGTGTACTGTGGATTATCATACAGTATTCAATATAAACTAAGTAATAGTATGAAGAATAAATACAAGTGTTATTGCATTTAAATTTTAAAGTTTTCTACTTCCAATGTAGTATAATTGCTGGTATGATTATGTCGCTTACTAAAACTGTCGTTTTTGCATTAAAAATGTCTGTTGATGTAAATAATACTACATCACAATTGTATTTATTTTTCATGCTATATTTCCATCCTAAACTATTACTTAGTTTATACTGAATCATATATGATAATCCATCATGTACTAATTTATTTTTAATTTAGAGATTTTGTTCATTTTCATGATTAAAAAATCTGTTAGATTTTAAAACATTTATGATTGACACAGACTGAGCATTTGGGAGAATAACAAAACTGTTACTCGAGGAAATTCAATTTTAAAATTAAAGAAAAATAAGTAAAATAATAAATTTGTAATTTAGGACTGTGATAACATATAATGTAATATGGTTAGATTCCAAATACTGAAAAATAAGTAAAACTCAGCTTAATAAAGTTACCTATAAACAAAAATAATTATTGAATTCCAGATTTTTTTTGACTTTTGTTCAGTATATCCCTTTAAATACATTAACTACAGCCAATCTTGGTTAACTCGAAGTTAAAGGGACAAGAAAAATATTCGAGTTAAACAAATTTAAATAACATAATGGAATATTGAACATTGAAGTGTATATGTATGTTAGTAGATTATGAATCATTGTAATGTAGTAAACTGGTTACTCCACTATATAAATAAACCACTTATCAGTAAAGGTTGTAGAAGTTCTAGTTAACCCAGTTTGACTGTATATTTATTTTATTTTTATTCATTTTTTTGACATCAACAATTTTAGTAGTTAACTTTGGTAATAAGTATTTAATAAACTAATAGATTAATTTATATACTTATATAATGTATGATTGTGTATGTTTTAGCATAATATTAAACTATTGTGGTCAATTTCCACCACCTTAGATTGATAATTCACCTAATAAAAAAAAAAAAAAAAAAATTGGCTTTTAATATAGATTTTCAAATAACTGAAAAAGTTTGTTTATTATTAAATTATGCAGCTAAATATTTTTGAAGCCTAAAGATGTCTTTATCAACCATATCTTCTCAGGTAAGATATTTATAAGAATTAGTGTAATAAACTTTGATAAAAATGTTATTTATGATTCCTAGGATATATGACTAATAAGTACGAAGAAAACAGTGTAGAATTTAAAGAACAGGTTGTTATTCCAAGGTTTTCCAAGATCAAACTGTTGTAATGAATACGGTAAATATATTTTTTCAATTAGTAATTATGGGGATTAGAAAATTATGAATGCCAGCTGATGTTAAGCAAATATTCAATCTAATCTGAGTAATAAAAAATAGATTATTTACCATGCAGAGAAGAAAATTTCTATGATCCTTGAGAGGTATTCTAATAAAATATTAACTATACATACTTGGTAAAAGAAACCATTCTACAAATATGTTCTTTCCATAGTTTTTTAGTTTGTATATAATATATAATTTTGAATATATTTTTAAAACCATATCTACAAAATATAACATTAAATAATAACATTATTCCTTTTATTGGTAAAATAATAAGCCATAAAGCACAAGCACAAATATTTCCTCTATATTCTGCAGTATAAACACAACTATTATGAATAATTGTATAAATTCAGTACTTGTATTTTTTTATTTTTTTTTATCAATTATTGACTTTTTGTAGTTTGCCAAATATTGATGGTACCTATGTTTTAAAAGATGCAGAGTAAAAAACTGATTAAAAATATTTTAAAAACATTTTTATTAAGATTCCACAAATAATGTATTTGTTTTTTTACAAATGTATAGGTTCCCCTTTTAGATTCTGAGTGAAAAGTGGAATCTTGTAGTTTTACTATGAAATTGTGTATTTATTTTTTTTCATCTTTAAGCAACTTTTCTCCTAGAAATTTTGCTCCAATAAAAACACGAAAAGGGAACTTTTTTGTTGCATTTTGGCTCTAGTTGGTACCTTAGAAAGACCATACATTGAAATTCTTATGAATATTCAAGATATTAAGGAATTTACTGATTCTTTAGATTAAAAAAGATTACAAATAAAATTATCATTGACAATCATATTTATTTATTTTTTGTTATTATTATTAAGTTTTCATTATTTTAAATTGCTTAACTTTGTTTCCTACTTTCCCACCATATATATATATATATATATGTTACATTACAATAATAGTACAATAATAATAATTAATACTTACCAGTAATTGTAAAGTATAAGGTTATCTATTTATGTGGGTACATTCAATATCTTGAAAAGTATTAACTCAAAAGAAACTTAAAACATATACAGATAAAGTAAATACATTTTAGTGTTTAAATTTTTGATTTTCACCTACCCATTGATGAAATATTCTACTTTAAAGTTTGGGTAGAGAGATAGTAATGAGCATCATTTGTGTGGCATCACTGTGAAGTGGTGTAATAATGCTTCATGTATAAATCCAATTTTCATTACTTATATAGTTGGTAGGTACTGTTCATAAAATACATTTTAAAATACTTGTTAAACTTCACATTATGTTTTATTAAAATTAAATTAAACATTTCTTTTTATATATAGTCTCACATTTTCAATGTCTATTAGATAAATATTAATTGGAAATAATTGTACCTAATTGTAAAACTGCCAGCTACTTTATATATTTTAGTATGAATAAATTGTACAAACACCTTTTCTTTTTGTCACATTAAAATTAAAATGTAAAATCTAAACAATGTCAAATAAATAAATAAATTCTATAAATTCTAAAAATTGTTGTATAATAATGAGTACAATAAGTTATGTTTGCCATGTAACAGTTTTATATAGATTAATATTATGAACATTTATTTAAAATAATTAAAACTTAAATAACAAAAATTAAATAAACACTGTTGTCAATTACAACTTTACTTTTAATCTTTCAATATTTTTTAACCTAAAGGTTCTCCTCAAATATTACTGCGAATTGCAAAAAAAAAGACCTTTCCAAAGTGCCAACCACCCAGAGAACATTTCCTTTCAGTAATGATGCTATACTTGATAATCGGATAATCTTTTTTTCTGGCAGAAAAAGTGTTATCTAAAACAAGAAATAGGTACTAACCAAATAATTGAAATATTAAAAAGGTGTCTAGTGAAATAGTTAAAATTGTTCATTTAATTACAATTGTAAATAAAATATATTATATAATTGTGATTTATTCAATTTAAGAAGAATGTTGTGTTACCTTTAAATTTTAATTGTGTCTTATTCCTTTAGGAATTATTAAAATTTTTCTAACCAATTTTAATTCTGATGAAACATATTTGGGAATTTTTATCTAAGAACCATAGTGTAGAACTAGAATTTCTAAAATTCACAAATTTAAGCTGGTACAAAAATAAAATAAAGGTTTTCACCTTTCTAATAATGCCTTAGACACTGATTTGAGGCCACTAAATGTCATGAGGATGTGGCTCATTGCCTGTCATGCCACCTTATCCCTATGCCACTTTAAAAGAATTACATAAATCTTAAAAATGTTTATTAAATATTAGTCTTACTCTCTCTCATAATTTTAATACATCATATTATGAATAACATAAGTTTGAATGTTTTAAATAATATAAGTACTTAGATTATTAACAAAAAAAGATGAGCTAGGATAATGGGGACGGGTGCAGCTACTGTTATAGGTAATTGAATGTATATCTGTAAGCAAAGATAAACCATTGCTAAGGAAAAACTATTTTAACCGTAGTTCAGTTAATAGTGATGCTTTGTCAACAATACATAGTCATATTATGGTAAAATAATTAAATAGGCATTATATATTTTCTTTAATAATATTTGTTTAATATTGTATCAATTATCCCATTTTTTTACCCTATTTTTCACATTGGCTGGGAAAACTTTTGGGAAATTAAAAAATGGCCACCTTAAAGTACCTTCTCAGTCAGATTTACTTTCAGAAAAAGTGTTATCATTATAAATTTTACTTATACCTGCATCTTGTACATTTGCTGACATTTTATCCTGGTTTTTCTCAATTATTATGAAAACCAATTGGAAAATCAAAAAATGACCCCTCAATAATACCATCTGGACAACATTCCCTTTTTGAAATGGTATGTATCAGAGAAAAAAAAATAAAAATCTTTGTAAAACAAATACATTCTTCACTTAACTCAGAATCTAAAATTAATTTAATAAAAATGCATTTTTTTTTTTTATAAAATAATGGTGTCCAAATATTGTGTTAAATTAAATACTTAAGGTATTAATGCATTTTTAGTGAAATTAGTGGGGAATATTTTGAAACTAACCTTTACCAAATCACAGTTTATTTTTATTGTTAACCTTTTATTTAACTTTTTTTTTTATTTTTTTATTTTAGAAATATACAATCTTTGACTTTTGAATCATTATGAAGCTACCCATGTAAAGATTAATGTATCTACTGAAGAACCAAACCATTTAAGTGCCAATTCCAGGACTCATTGCAAGTAGCCAAGATATAACAAAACTGGACAGCATTTGGTTTTTCATCAGAATTCACAGATAACAAAGTTTTACACATAGACCAACTAGATAATAAGAATATTAAAATTATGTATAATATTTAAAATTAAATAGTACATATTTATTTATATTATTTTATCAATATTTATTATTAGGGCTATTGATCATTTATGAGACTTAGAAACAGACTACCTAATTGGGTCCGACCCTAATAAATTACTAAAACTATTGATAAACACAGGTATCAATATTATACAATATCATAACTAATACCTAAAACTAATATTATAATAATTATGGGGAACTTGAGCTGTACACTGGATCAATTTCAAAATTTTTCATTGCCTTAGGTACAAATTATTTATTTATTTATCGTATGGCATATTTTGACACATAATATACATACAAAGTTGTAACATGGAATAAAAAACAAAAAATAAAAATAAAAATACTAGAATAAAATAAAATAATCCATATAAAAAATGGGGAGGATGGTGGTAGCCTGCACGTGGCCCTCCCTGCATGCGCTTGTAGATTTTCTGAAGACCCTTGTGTACAAAGACAGACTACAAGCGTATCTAATACTACCACCAAGGCGCTGATACCCAGCAACAGACACAGTAATATGCAACCTTTAAACGGCTCTTTTCAGGGCCATTCAACGCAGATATTAGAACCATGCCTTAGGGCATGTCACCTAAATATTGAAGGTATTTCGTCAGCTAAGAGTGAAATTCTATCTAAACTTATGAGAGAGGTACAAATATATCCATATACTTATTACTCTTTTTTAAATAATAACATTATGTTTATTATGTGACCTTGTTATTTTATATCAAAACGATTTGCATCATTTAATACTAAAGTCTGTTTGTCATAACTAAATTAATTATTGGTATATTAATCCTAGCTTTAGTTTTCTTGCAATTAGTTGGAGAAGAACAATATTATATTCTATAAATTTCACTATACATGCAACTAAACCCTTATAAACTTACTATGATTTTACTTAACTTATTCAATTAACTACTAACATTGTATTTATTGTATAACATTACCACCATACCATACCATAATCAAAAATATCACAATGATTTTCATTATTCAAACTTAACTATGTATTAAATTAATAAAATTGTATTTATTTTGTAACCTTACATTTTAAATCTATCAAACTGATTTATTTAATTTATAATAGAGTAAGATTATTTTAAAATTATATTTCACTGTTATATATGTTTAAATGCATATTATCATTTTCTCTTTCTATGTTCAGAAATCTTTAAAAATCCAAATTCCAAAAGTTTATGAATACAATCTATATTAACACATTTAAAAATGTTATTAAGTATTTTTTCATATTATACAATTACTAATTAACAATACCAGAGTTGAAAAAAAAGATTAGAATATTTGTATGTGTACTGTGTAAGATATTCTCTGGTTTTCATAGAAGGGGTGAATTTCAGTACAGTTTAAACTTAGTTTAGTCTAGGAAAATCTCATGCTTAGAAAATAATAAACTTCTATCTCAATATCATTTTGGTTTTCGACTTGATACCTTTAATGCTTTATATTCAACAACTACATTTATTTATGGAAAATGAGATAATAATAAAAAGTCATTGCAGTATTTTTAGATCTGACAAAAGCATTTGTCACTGTAAACCATAAAGTATTAATTAATATTTTGGTAGGTTTTGGAATAAATGTGGAAAGTTTGAGCTGGATCACTTGTTATCTGAGACACAGGACACAGTGTGCCTCAGTAAACAATGTCTTAAGTAGTAAAAAACAAATTGTTTGTAGTATGCCACAAGGCAGTGTATTGGAACCAGTTTTATTTGTTTTATGCATTAATGTTATTTGTGATTTAAATACAGATAGCTCAGTGATTATGTATACTGATTGCATTTGTCTCCTTTTCTTGGATAAATCTTGGGAAAGGGTACAAGAAAAAACTACTATAAGCCTAAATAGAGTTTTTCAAGAGTTAAATAATAAAAAAAAAAAACAATTTTTAATTATATTTATGCTACATCATACACATGATATCATTAACTAATACTTATGACCACGACTAAAGATCTTATCTATACTTAGCCATGCTTGTGACTCAGAAAATAATTATGGTACCACAAATAAAATATCTGAGTATAATGAGTATATCATTATACAAAATACTACTTATTAAAGTCATGTGTACTGTATAAATCTAATATGCAATATGACTTAATAATATGGGATGGATGTGCAGATAATAGTGTTCAAATAAGGACGCTCGTTTTTTAAATGTAAATAAAACAAGTTGTGTGAAAGATATCCACCCAATTTTTTTTTATTTGAAAGAATATTTTATGACAATTATGTATGAAATATAATATTGTTCTATGTCCGTGCGGCTTTACTTAGTGGTGCTTATTCGGTAAGTCCAATTTTAAATGATTTTCACTTTTGAATTATAAATCTGGATTTATTTGTTTGATGACGTTAATTATGTTGCCTTTGAGAGCATCAGTTATTTGTGGTTTATTTGTATAGACCTGTAATTTAAAATAACCTTAAAGGAAAAAGTCTAAAGGTGTCTCATGATCTTGGTAGACAATTCATGTTACCACCGCTCGAGATAACCATGCTCTCAAATCTCACGCAGAGTTCCATCATCCATTGCATGTGCTATGTGACACGTAGCGCCGTCCTGTTGGAACCACATCTCATCGGAAACCATATCCAGTTTAGATCACAAGAAGTTTTTTATCATCGAACTATAATGCTCGCCGTTGACGGTTATGACCAAAATCGAATAAATGTAAACGCCCTATATGATTTTTATGCATCTAAACATAAAGAGTTCTTATTATAAACCTATAAGTACCACTCGTATGTGTAATTGAAGAAATTATTAAACTACGATATAACAGGTGCAATTTTAAACTTAAACCCTCGACATTGACAGGTTATTTGAATACGGTAGAATTGAACTGCGTTCTTGTACCTACTCAGAATCAGTAGTTAAAGTAGGAAAAATTTCGAGAGAATATGTTTACCCAAAATCGAGAGCGTTCCGAGAATTAACTATACCTATAGCAAACTTTCAGTGCACCCATCACGGAAACAAGACTTAAAAAATATTTTTTTTTCATTTGTTCATAAAAACGTTTTACTAATAGAGTTAGAAAATAAATTGCACCTACCCCTCCCTTAAATATTATCATATGCATATCAGGAACGTCCCTGAGGGGGGGGGCGATCACCCACCCATAAGCCGTTTAGCCATGTGATAGTCTTTTTTCATTATGCAAATATCCATAATTCTTAGCACAAATAAGTACAAATGCAACTAGTTCTAAATGTCATAAAGATGATTCCAGATCTTGTAAATACTTTGATTGAAACAAGAATGAAACAATTCTCATTTATACATTTCAATAAATATTCTCCCCAGGATGAGATAAAATTATGGAAAACTAAGTGGAAACAACCAATTTACTAAGATATAATAAAATAATATATTTTTAAAATCAAAATTGAAAGTGATTACTTTAATTGAAATTTTAGATTCTGAGTGTAGTTAAGAATGTACCTATTAGATATAAAATGATTTAGTTTATTTTATACTGTGACAAAAATGTCTACCAAAAATATTACTTCAATATATAAGTGTAGCACTTTATTTGAAAAAAAAATATTGTCATATTGACTAGATGGTACTTTAGAAAGGTCATTTTTTGATTTTCCAAGCAGTATTCATATCAGGAAAACCCAGGATAAAACTTAAGAAAAACGGGAAAATTTATGAAAATAATGCTTTTATTATTTTTAATTTTGTTTTTTTTTTGTAATTCAAATAAAAATATTCGTTGAAATTTGGACAGAAAACTTATATTTGTCTTTTCTTGATGTGGTCAAATTTTTGAGCAATTTATAGATATTTTAATTTTGCGAGTTATGTACGTAATTTTTATTCGGTAGGTACTTTTTAGATAAAATTGTTAGACCGAACAAAAATGTTGAAGAATTTAACACGGGCTTTATTAAAAGTCGTACTTTGTGACAAAAAAAAAAATTTGAGCAAAAGATTACCACTTTTAAATATTCTTTAAAATGAAAACATTAATATAAAAAAATATTATTGATCAAACCACTTGTAAAACGCTGCTTAAAATAAAAGTATTTTGGACTTGGTCATCTAACTTTTATTAAATATTATTATTATTATTATTGTTATTCATATTATCATTATTTTAATTATTATTTATTTAATGTGAAAAGAATACATTTTACTTTTAAATTGTACTGTTTGGTTCTGCACTTGTACAATATATCTACTAAGCTATCTTCTAAACTAATACAAGTTAAATTGACATCAGACATAAAAGTTTTAGGTTTTAATTAACCAAAGCGGTGGTATTCAAGAGTAAAATTGTTCCCCCCATGGAATTGACCCGAAGACGTCCCTGAGACATACTCTTAACTGAGCTCCACTCAGAACCGTTATTGTAGGCAATGCTTGAATTTGTTTAGGTATAGATATATATCAAATTTCCCTTAATATCCTATGTTTCCAACTTCTTATCTATAAGTGTGGTCCACCCATCGTGCGAAGTGTGTCCGTTTTTTTTTCTAATCAATCATAATCAAGATCTGGAGACGCCTCTGACGCATATGTTCAGTATAAATGAAGTAGGTGAACCAGAGTCAAATATTAAAGAATTAATTTAAAATAAAACAAAGTCAAGTTATTAAATTTCATTAAAAAAAATCTCGGAGACGATAATTAAGCGTCTCCCCAAACTTCAAAGAATTAAACTAAATAGGATTGATATTTTACATTCATTAAACAAGAAGGGAACTCCGACCCTCCACTATTTTAATCACTGTATGGTACAAGTACCTTTCCAAAAAAAAAAAATCATTTTTTGAATCATAAAATAGAACGATAAATCGGTAGGTACGGGGATATGACTAAATAAAATCTATAAAACTTATTCAAATATTACTAATAATGGGGCCAAAAACTCGCTAAGACACAATATAGACAAATAATAAACGTTAAAAATAAACCAAATTGCAAAAAAAAAATTAATAATGCAAAACAATTATTCACCATATGAAATCATTGTGAAATTCAAAAAAATAAAATTTATTTTGGCAATTTTGGAACGTATCTTATTATTCCAATTTTATTTCATTTACTTTTTAATTATTCGATTGATTTTTCATTTATACGAAAACACAATAAATCCGTAATTTATGGCACTGATTGTTAAAACAAAAATATGCATGTTATACTTATGTATATTTTATAAATATTATATATATATATATTATATTATATTACTTTTTAATTATTAATTACGAATCCCTTCAAAGAATATTTCTGATCGTGATATTGTGATAATTTAAGTGCGTATTTAATCAATATTTGCATAATGCATAGATAAATGTAATTGCGATAGTTTAGTTTTCAAAAGGTTTTTTGACACCAAGTTAACAATAATACATTATCTACAATTTTATTTGAATATTTTAGTGATTTATTGCTATACAAATTGTAAATGGTAATTGCTTATACTGAATAAAAAATAAAATAAAAATGAATATTATTGTAGTTTGATCTAGGGGATC